TCGGGTCAAGCTATTCACCTGATTATTTCGGATTGCAAAAGACCATTAAAACCTTGCGAGTATGTGTCGGATGAAGTACAGAATACCTACTCAAAAATCCAATAAGAAACCAAGGACACACCTTCCGGCTTTTACTAACTAGAAATTCTCAAACGGGTTCTGATTGAGTCTTGTGTTTATAATATGTTTGAAAACAATTAATACAAAAAAAACATTCTTGGTCAACTGGACCGTTATCTGTTTTATTACATCGCGGCGGGGTGTACAGGAAAAGCTGGCTATTTTAATAAAAATGATTAATCAAAGCTTATGAAAACATTTGAAATTAAATTTTCGTGATACCAATAATAGTTTTCTAAGAAAACCGCAATGCGGATAAAACATTTTCTAGGATTATTTTCACTGGAGTGCGCTAAACCAGGGCCAGTTAGCAGTCTTTTGTTTCATTGTAGCGTTTTGATTACTTGTTCAAGTTTATCAAACAATAACGACAGTAGTTTTTGAGTTGTGTGTTTATGAGAAAAACTCCAGTCCAACCTTCAATTGACAATTTTGATAACTTTAGAACCGTTAGTTAGCCAGACAATATTATTGGACAGAAATTTGCTAGAGTGAAACGGCAACAAATTTTTTTGAAAAACAGTCATATCCATGCAAATGATCAACAACTGAATTAAAAAAATATGCTCAAAAGCTTGACAAACTACAGCAAACAAAAACTAAACTACAGTAGATATGGCAGCAAAAAAGTATTATGGAATATAGTGATTGTTTGGACTTCTAATATAAGATTTTCCAGTCCTAACAGATGCATGTGAATTTTTAAACACTTCCTCATGTACCAGTTTCAGCCTTTCTTGATAGAAAGAAGGCAAAGTCCAACGTAAGCAAGGGATTTGTATCAGTCTATTCAGTAGCTGGTTGTGTGTTTTAATCTTTCCTGTTGTTTCACTATACCTCCTACAGATGTGGAGTCTTAAGAAATGTTACCTTTTTTAATTGTAGAACATCAATTTATGAAGAACAGTAATAGGAGTCTACAATACAAAATAGCCATGGGTTACACGAGCTGAGCTTTACTGTATAAAATGTCCGTAAAACTTAAAAAGACAGAACAGCGACACTGTCCGCCTGCTCCGCGTGCCACGTCACCTGTGTCACTTGTTATTTTTTTTGTGGTGTATAGAGTCGTGTTCTTTGTAGGATTTATTGTTGTTAGAAATTAAATGTCCTGCGACCTCCCAGTTCCGCGCACCCTCAGTTGCACTCACTAAGCGTAGGTCACTCAAAACATTGCCAACCTTCCTTTTGATAACAGTTCAGCTAACAGTTCACTTTAAAATAAGAGTTATCAGCATCACTGTTATAAGAAAACACTTAATTGACCATATATAACTAATTTTTTTTATATCTTTTACGCTGATAGTATTGTGTGGTCCACGAACGATGATGAACCCGTTTTATTTCCGACTTAGCGCCAGCTTGAAAATGTTACATTATTTCGCGGCAGGCTGTTATCGACGCATCAAAGCTTTAAAAAACTTTTACAACGTCGGTGAAGATTTTCTTTCCTAGAAAGTCAAAGCAAGAACAGGGTTTGGTTGAGAATAAAGAATTGCTCGCTGGAAATATTAAGCAAGAGAGAATTAGGGGAGGGAGCGAATCCCTGTACCCCATTATAATTATTTGAAATCGCTTACTGGTAAAGCGTGTCACGTTTCCTTAAAATGTGCCTAGTTGGTGACGTGCACAAAAGACAGAGGATCGGTCCGAGAACTGGCCCCTGTGGTACACCAGTATTTAGTAGTCGGCATGTCCGATATGCTTCTCCCCATCATCACTAATGTCGTGAATTCTTCACTTTCCTTGGGACACTTTCTATCTGATTGGAAAACGGCCCTTGTGGATCCAAGACTGAAGAAGACCAAGGAAGGGACTTCCTTATCCAATTTAAGACCTGTGAGTAATCTGCAATACCTCTCTAAATTGGTTGAAAGGGCAGTTTATGATCAGACAACCGATCACGTTACTCAGTCGGGCTTGTATCCCATCCTCCAGTCAGCCTATCGACTTGGTCATAGCACAGAGACTGCCCTATTGAAGATACAGAATGACATACTAGCTACAATGGACAATCAACGAGTTACTCTCTTGGTATTGCTAGACCTGAGTGCAGCATTCGACACGGTTGACCACCAAGTGTTGTGGAATCGCCTGTACGTGACGTATGGAATTGCAGGTACCGCTCTTAAATGGTTTCACTCGTATTTATCAAACAGGAAACAGCGAATCCTGATTAACGGGAGCTATTCGAGTGACTTTGATCTGCCTCAAGGGGTACCTCATGGTTCATGTCTTGGTCCCTTGCTCTTCACGTTGTACGCAAGTAAGCTCTTCAATGTTGTTGAATCCCATCTCTCCCTAACGTTCACGCATACGCTGATGATACGCAGCTCTATATCTCATTTAAGCCGGATGGTTCAGCTAATGAGACGGATGCTGTTGACGCTTTACAAGCTTGCATCAGGGACATAAGAACCTGGATGGTCCGAGACAAACTTTGGCTGAACGATGCTAAGACCGAGTTTCTTATTATAGGTACACGCGCACAGTTAAATAAGGTTACGATAAGTGACTTGCAAGTAGGTGAGGTAAAGGTTTCTGCTGTTTACTCTGTTAGAAATCTGGGTGCTTGGTTTGATGCAAAAATTAATATGACCACACATATTAACAGCATATGTCAGGATATTTATTACCATCTATATAACATCCGGCGTATTAGAAAGTATTTATCATATGACAATAGGAAGTCCATTGTACAGGCTATTATAATGTCACGATATGACTATTGTAAGGGTCTATTATATGGTACGCCCGCTGTTCATCTTGGTAAGCTGCAACGCCTGCAGAACGCGGCAGCTCGGCTGGTATGTACTGTATTTAGGTATGATCCTATCACACCATCCCTGATCAACCTGCACTGTCTTCCGGTTACCAACAGAATAGAATTCAAGATAGCAGTGCTAGTTCACAAATGTATCTACGGCGTCGCACCACAATATCTTTTAGACTTGATAAAAATCAAAGAGAGGTCGCGGTATCAGTTGAGATCATACCGGGGCATACTCCTAATGGACAATACCCATAGAACAAAAAAGACACTCGGGGATAGGGCGTTTGAAAATGCTGCGCCCAAAGTATGGAACCGACTCCCTCTAGAAATTAGACAATGTCAATCATTGAACATTTTTAAAGTTTTACAAAAGACACATCTTTTTAAATTAGCTTTTTATTAGTTCTTTCATTAACTCATATTTTACTTTTATTGTTTTCCGAAAATTGTAAATTATGATTATTATTATCATTATTTGGATTAGCCATTTATTACTTTAAGAGTTTAGTGTTGTAATGCGCATTCGATCATATCTTTATCGCATGCTAGACTGCGCAATATAAGAAATAAACATTATTATTTATTGTTATTACACCATGATGCAGAGCATAAAAAGATGAACTTTCACCACGTACACCAGACACATACTGTCGACGATCCCTGAGATAGGATTGAAACAACAATGAACCACTGCCTTTAATACCAACTTAGCTACTTACTAAGGCCGGGAGTCTTCCCGAGCCGTCCTAATAAAATCTTTCCACACGACCTGATTGAGCATTGTATCTCTTATCTCTTTGGTATTGCTGTCCAGTCCAGTGTCAGCCTTGATGGTGTCAATGTATGTGGTTCTAGGTCTTCCTCGATTTGGGTGACCATGTTGGGGTTCCCAAAGCAGCACTTTTGAAGCAGTCTCTTCATTGTGACTAGCAATGGCCACCTAATCTTAATCGTCTAGCACCAAGAGAGGATAAAGGGGACAGAGAAGGCATCCCCCATACACTCCCCATTCCATAGGTAATTCGTCTCAAGGTAACTTTATCCCGGTTCTAAAAATAACTCGAGACGAATTACCTATGGAATAGGGTGTGTATGGGGGATGCCTTCTCTGTACCCTTTATCCTCTCTTGTCTTGCACGGATTGTTTCACTAACTTTTGGGAAGCTCCCGTTCATATGGTGTTGCCAGTGCACATTAAGGGCCGTTTGCAGCATTCTGGTGTAGCATCCATTGACACTTCCAACAGCTTTTTGGTCACGTCCACGTTTGACTTCCATAGAGTACGACAGACTCTACAGTTGCTCTAAACAGTCTGATCTTTGTTTCTCTTGGCAGCTTTGAGGTCCACTTTTTTCTCATTTTGTTGCAAGCTATCCAAGCTGAAGCCTTTCTAGCCTTTCTGTCTCCTTGTAGCACGTCTGTGGTGATTTTGAAGAATTCAGTTTCCCCCGATCGGTTTCACCAAAGCAGAATTCAAGACGATGTAAAAAAATTCTATGGTTGAATAGATCAAAGGCAGCAGAGAGATCAAATATTAACAAGGCAACAGATCTGTTGTTATCAATCGCTCTCAAAATATCTTCATAGTAAGAATAAAAAAATAATTCAAAAATTTATAGCGCGCGCAAATATCTATATGAATACAATCAAATGCGCGATAAAAATAGTTAACTTTGGAGAATTAATAAAAATGATTAACATTAGAAAATACATTAATTACAAAGGCTCGTAAGTAAGGTTGAAGTAGTATATGTATGGATTAATAACATAAAAGTAAAGTATGCATTTAAGATCCTGTAGAAATAAACAGAAGATTAGACACTGGTGTAAAGTTTCCTAAAAGTTTTCAGAGTCCAGATTACTTTTCTTATGCAAATGTTGAATTTGAGCGGTTTTGAGACATTGAGGTATGGAGCCTGTAGTCAGAGAACGATTTACAATTTCAGTGATAACTCAGACAGACAGGGTGACCATCTGTACCCTTCCCATGGTCCCTTGTGGTTCATCACCAGTCACTCGTTTCGCGCTCGCCTCTGCCATGCGAAAAACGAAGCGCCTGGGGAGGAGGCTGGGTTAACATCATAGGTGCAGGAAAAATCAACAAATTGTATTGAAACTCAACTAGCATAAATAATTACATAATTTTCCCTCCCGTAAATAGCCTAGGAACCGAATCAAGGTGGGGTGGGGAGAGACATAGTTACATTTCAAGGTTCCAGTAGATGGACTACACAACAATGAAGACACTACAATACAATAAATAGAATAAAATAACACGAAACAACGTAAAGTTTGAAAAGGTTTAAAGGCTTTTTTATCGTGGAAAATTCACTTAGCTTATCCGCCTAGTTTACCGAAACTCCACTCAAATACTTAGAAACAAATTATTTTAATACAACATAACAGGATTAAAAACCACAACTGGCAGAACACAACCAGCTGGTTATTTAAAAGTGTGGCCGAGGATTTGAACTCGGGACAACCGAAAATAAATCCAGCAATTCGCCAGAGATGGACTCGAACCCGAGACCGCCGGATTGCGAGTCTGACGCGCTGACCATTCGGCCATTCTGCCGAGTAACAGGTGGTACAGAAGAACGAAACATTGAGCGCTTACCATTTGTATGGAAAACCCGGAAATTTCGGGGAGAATTCAAATGGAACGGTTCATCCCGGTGGAAATTTTCCGGAAAAATAGTAATACCTTTCGAGGTATTATTCCCGTTGTTACCGAAACGACCGAAATTTTCTGTACCATTTGTCTGAATTACTAGTGCCAGGCTTCATGTCGAGAGAGAGCGAAAAGTTTATGGGTATTTTGTAAATGGTACAACTTAATCCCGTTCTTGTTTTCGGTGCCAAAAAAAATAACAGTACCATTTGACGGAAATTTTTGACCGAAATTTCCGTACAAATGGTAAGCGCTGATAGAAACGAAAACCAGGAAAACCAAAAAAAGGAAAACTTTACGGAACAAATTCACGTTCACTTCCGTCCATCATAATCTCCTCACGAGACTCCCAACAGCAACGACAACCGGCCGGCAAGCCCTCGCTGAGGATAAGGTTGCATTCGCTCCACAGCTGTTTTAGCCTGCGAGCAAGCTCTCCGGGGCGCCATGGCGTCGGGGCGAAAAAGGTACCTCTCCATCCTTTTTCACCCCACCAACAGAGCTCCCAGGAGAGCTTGCTCGCCAAGCTACTGGGTAAAACATAGCAATAACAGCAAAAATACAAAACGACGGATGACAACAGCTATTTGAAAAATATCTGCTGGACTAAAAATCCCCTTCAATCCTGAATTTGCCCAGGAACAGTCCATAAAGACGGTGACTTAACATCGACAAGGCCAGCATGTTTTAGTTTGTTTTTAAAGAAAAAACAATTTTGAATGGATAATAATCTACTTTCGTATTATCTGAAGAAAAATGTCGGAAGGTGCTATCCACTTCCTCGACTAATTTTTCAGATCATACGAAAGCCGAATTCAATAATTGCTAATTTTACTGTTGCTTGTCATTTATGGACGCAAATCCCCATCTGTCTCGTAGATATCAGTAGGAAAGCTTAGAATATATCAGGGTTCTCTAAAAGTTACGTTAACCAATCAGATTAAAGGCTTTAAGCACCTTCGAAAAAAAAGTTATATTGTCAAGAGTGATCTATCCCAAATGGAAATTAACTTATTGCTTCACATCTTGACCATTTTATCTCCAGAAAAAACTTTTACAATAAACATGACAACGGCCCCTTCAATTCTTGGTCACATGATGTCAGGCACTGACGTCACTAGGCCGTGTGAATTACAGTTGCAATGCACTGTTCTTATTGTCATTAATTACTCTGACTGAAATTCCGATTCCTCTTTCTTCTTCGTTAAATTATCATTCATTTCGTATAAGAACACAATTGTACCACACGATCTACGGGGAAACTGAAAGTCTTTCTACCCGATGGCAGAAAGCAGAGCAAGTAGGTGTTGCCTAATTCACGGTTGTTTATTCTGATATTAAGTAATTCTCTCGGCTATCCAGTTGCTGTGAGAAAAGCAAGTTGGTGTATAGATTCTTAAGTCAAATTTTGTTGTTTTGAGAAATATCCCACGTTGATCCTGTTTTTCAACCCTTGCTAGGAAGGCTTTTTTTTCAGTGCAAGCAGTGACAATTCTAATTTGCTTGTTTCTGTCGAGATCTTCCTAACTCACTGCGGGTTTGAAAAAGAAAAAAAAAACATGAATAAAACAAACACCAGCCTGCAGGCAGGTATGCCTTCCAAAGCAGAACTGAATAGTGCTTTTGCTCCTATCGTGGACTCTTTTCTGAGCTGTTTTTAAATCTGAAATTAAGTAAAAAGGAGACTAAGTACATTCATTTTTTTTTTCATTTCTCTTACTAGCTGCCAATGTCGCCTACTACGCCTACAAAGTACTTCACACTGTTTTTTTCTTTTCGAATGATTAAATGTCCCTGTCTTTGCATAACTTCTTTCTAATTTATGAGCAAGAGCGAGAGTCTTCATTTCTATTTATTTTTAAATAAATATTATAAAGAACGGACTTCTCTTCGTTATGTTTGTCCGCCGGGCTGACGGGAGTACTGTTAGTCAGTCCTATTCCAAATCCAAACTAGTGAAGTTCAATCAAACTGTACGTCTCAATCTTTCTCCACAGTTGCAGAAAACCAATCATACTCAAAGTGTGGAGGATGTAATGAAGAAATCCGTGATAAATATCTACTTCAAGCACTGGACAAACTCTGGCATGTCTACTGCTTGCGATGCAGCGACTGCAGGGAGACACTCAGTGATGACGGCAAGTGTTACGTTCGCGACGGAAACATTCTTTGCGACTTTGATTTTTTTCGGTAGGCAGCCATTACACTTTCCTTTTAGCTCTAATGGCAGAACGAAATTCCAGTTAGGTTGGAAATTAGCTATTTCTTCGTCAAATAACTTATGACTGTTCCTTTAATATGAAAATCTTTCACAAACTGGCAAAAAAGGCGAATATGAAGTATATTTCTTGTTGAAAATTTCAATGATTTTTGAAGTCAGTTTAATGAGCTAGATAATATATTATTCTGGCATCATAAAGTATAGCGGGGTCCATCTAAAATCGAGTTCAACAAATGACAGTGGTAAAATACATTTGAATTTCTTCAATCTGTTGCTCAGTTGCCGGATGCGTCGCAGTTAAATTCAGTTGTCAGTTCAAGTTTCTTTAATGGTTCCGGCTATACCACCTACAGAACTGTTAGATTCTAGTGCTGATTTGCACCGAACTGTTATATTTTAGTACTAATTTGTACTTCATGATGAATTTTAAAATCATTCACAGTTACAGCAAACTAAAGAGGAAATATCTTTTATAGAATTTTAACATTTTATCCTGCTCCAAGTCTATTTTCTTTATCATTTTATGTCGCATTCATTGATAGCAACATAATCAACTATACCGGTGGATGGTTATTTTCTTACCATGATTATCAGTTGCTGCAGTTATACATACGAAACTGAATGATTGATTCAGTATTTAAACGTAGAGAAAAACGAACGTTAACAAGAACTAAGCCGAGGGGAAGACTAAATAAGACTAAATCTGCAGAGTAGCAGTATGCAGCATAAAAATGAACGCGATCACCTGCAACAAACACAGCTGCTTTGTGTTAATTCTCCAAACTTTAAGTTAGAAGGTTATTTATTAGGATATTTTCAGTTCCCCTTGTACTGAACAACGATGTATTTACGATTTGTTTTCATAACGTCACCAGCATTTCCAGCAGTAATTGATTTTCGGATTTAGACTTTTTTCTGCTGCAATGGAAATGGTTTCCTTGGATTTCTTTTGATTTGTAATTAAAACCTCAAACGGCAGCAAATGTAATGGATTGATTGTGAAAGTAATGCAAGATCAGCTTGTCAGTTCTATTTTATTAAACCAAGCCGATTAATCCACGTTTCCACTTTTCTATTTTTTCCAAGTTGTATCCTAGCTTATACTGTTTATCACCATTGAGGACACCTGTAAGTCAGTTTCGCCAGCGTTTGTCAACTATCAGTTGCAATTATTTGTTCTTTTTTTTTCAGGCGTTACGGTAAACCCTGTACCATTTGTAATGAAGGTATTTCTCCTAAACAAAGCGTAAGAAAGGTTTTGGACAAAGTTTACCATATAAGTTGCTTCTCTTGCGTGTCATGCAAACAGCAGTTATCGACAGGGGATCTGTTCTATTTGCTGGACGATGGAGGAATTATCTGCAAACCAGACTACGACGGAGAACAACTCACCAAATATTCTGGTAACTCGCTCCAGTAGCAAACCATATTTATTATTAAGAAACGTCCCGGCATCTTTTCCGGACTGAGTTAGGCTGTACTATGTCCGTTGGATACAAGTTTATTTTTGCCGAATTGTTTTGACTAGGATAGAAATGCAGTAAACCGTAAGTTAGCGAAACAAGTTAGGGCTAGTTTGTGGGCCAAAGGCCTTACTATTATTATAAAGATTCTGATGTTAAAAAGGCTCTAGGTAAACAAAGTTTTCGTAAAATTTAAAAAGCCCTGCCTAAGCAGCGTGATCGGCGCTCATAAAAAGTAGTCCGGCCGGTGGAAAAGAGTGTTATGAATTGATAATTAATCAAAGCACTTGAAATAATCATATAATTTGATCAAACAAGCATTTAATACAATTTGCTCTTCGTTTTTAACAGCGTTTTAATGTTTTAAATGTAAGGTTATCATTTCACTAAGGTATTTTTAAGAACAAAAGTAAGATCGAGTGAGAAACATAATTTAGAAAATTACGAAAATTGATCACACTTTATCGTTGGTTATTGTCCCCATTTGTTTGGCCTTTTCAAAGTTTTTTTGACCAATTAAACGGAATAAAGTACACACACAAAAAAACAGGAAATTATTTCCTGGTTTTTCATTTTTTGCCTTCTGCCAGTTGCGGAAATTAGACATAACAACAGACAATTTTTCCGTAACAGGACTTGCGGACAACGGCTCTAGGAATATTGTACAGATCAGCTCATTAACTTTTGAAAACTGGTCATTCAATAGCTTTTTAAGTGTTAAATATAAACAAAAAACAACAAAAGAAGCTAAAAACAATTAAAACACATGCACCTGGAAAATATACTACGTACCAATCAGTTTCTTTTCTGCTACTGAGATTAGAAATCAACAAGAAATTAAATATGTCAGTTTGTTTTCCCGAAACAGAAATTTCGAACACACCGGAGCAAGGAGCATTTGGCATGCAGTTAAGGTGGCTCCGTAATTAATATAGGTGCATTTAGCTGTGACGAAGTTTTCGTCATAACTTTTTCGTTTTTAACGCGATGGCTGCGAAACTTTGCAAAGAACAACAGATATCATTCGGCAACAGTACGAAATATCCCGATTTCATTAATGGTAAATACATTTTGCTAAATTAGCGCTTAAAAGGACCCTACTGTTCAAAGAAAATCGCGTCTAGTAAAAAAAATGTACTGATATTTTTTACTGAAATTTCTGGTATCGGCTTTTATTGATATAATAAATATGCCAGAGGAATTTCAGAAAAATCGTTGGAGCAGAAGTCCGTAACTAAAAGTCGCTCAAAATTCAGCTGTGAAATTGTATTGGAATTTCAAAAATAAATTACTATCAGGTAGAAGGAGACACCAGTTTGAATTTTCGGGACAAGTAAATTCAGCGTTTGCTAATTCTTAAAACAAAAGTCGATTGCCTATCGTGCTATTCTTTAAAAGGTACTGTCTAGTTTCAAAAGCACTGTAAATTACTCCAAACCTTGCTCTGAAGTAGAATGACATGTTCCTCGACGTTTTTAATATATCCCTTGGCAGTTTTGGTTCAAACTCCTGCTGCATATATTTTAATGTATTGCAATGCATTTTCAACGACTTTTACTGCTGTTCGTTGCCTCCAACTCAGGAAAAAGGTATCGAGATGGGACGCTACCTCGTATCAGAGCTCAGATAGAACTGTTCAGCACCTTTGTTTATGACTACAAAATGAGCACGAGTGGCAGTTCCGCGAAGAATTCGCACCTCACCCAGGGGGGACGAACGACAATGATACCCATTCCTGTGAACCGTATTACATCAAAGTGCAAAATAAAATTATCGCAAAAATACTGCCCGTGAATAAATTTACAACTCTGAAATTTTTGTCACTCCTTCGTTCAATGAATAAGTAGTTTTTTTTCTTGATTTTTATGTTTTGCTCTGCAATACGTGTTTATGCAGATCGGTTCGCAGACGTGGGCAACATTGTCATTCGTCCCCCCTGACTAAGGTGCGAATTCCTCGCAGAGCTGCCGCTCGTGCTCATTTTCTGGTCATAAACAAAGGTGCTGGACAGTTCTATCTGAGCTTCGATACAAGGTAGCTTACAATCCCAATACCTTTTTCCCGAATTGGAAGCAACGTACAGCAGGAAAAGCCGTAGAGGATGCATTGCAATACATTAAAATGTATGTAGCAGGAGTTAGAACCAAAACTGCCTAGGGAGATTTTAAAAATGTCGAGGAACAAGTCATTCGACGTTAGAGCAAGGTTTGGAGTAATTTATAGTGCCTCTAAAACTAAAAAGTACCTTTTAAAGAATAGCACGATAAGCAATCAGCTTTTGTTTTAAGAATAAGGAAACATTGAATCTACTTGTCCCGAAAATTCGAACTGGTGTCTTCTTCTACCTGATAGTAGTTTATTTTTGAAATTCCAAAACAATTTCACAGCTAAATTTTGAGCGACTTGTACTAACGGACTTCCGCTCCAACGATTTTTCTGAAATTTCTCCGGCATATTTATTATATCCAAAAAAAGCCGATACCAGAAATTTCAGTAAAAAATATCAGCAAAATTTTTTAATAGAAGCGATTTTCTTTAAACATTAGGGTCCTTTTAAGGGCTAATTTCTCAAGAAATATTTACCATCAATAAAATCGGAATATTTCGTACTATTGCCGAATGATATCTGTTGTTCTTTGCAAAGTTTCGCAGCCATCGCATTAAAAAGACGCTAAAAACGAAAAAGTTATGAAGGGAAATTTGTCACAGCTAAATGCTACAGTATTAATTACGGAGCCACCTTAAACTTCATGCTCTCCGGCGCCCTGTGCGGCCTTCCGCTGACCTCTATCTGTTGATATGGCTCGATAGTTAATCTGAGCCACGTCACTGATGCCACCACACTAGAGGCCGGCTTCGTACGGCGGATTACTTTCAACTTGTACATACATATCACCACTAGCTAGACCCTCGTGTATTATGGCGACCTTAGTGGATTAGAGAGCGTGAGAACCCAGGAAGTAACTCTGCAAAAAGTTTAGCAAAAATTGAGCGAAACTCGAGAACTTGGTTGTTATTCGAGCCTCGAGGAAAAGTGCCTTGCTTGAAGTGTTTCCCCGCTACGTCACTGTGACCCATAGAGCTCACGCATTGAACTCGATACCCCGGTCAACATTCCGCTCGGGGTAACACCGAGCAAAACGCAATGCGCATGAGCACAAAATTTAATATCCGGTCAGCTTTTTATTTCCGGTCTAGTATATAAACCAATAGCGTAAGCATAACTTTGCCGTCGCGCCAAGTTTAAAAGCAAAAAGGGCGAAACAGACAAAAAAGGGGGCCAAGAAAATCACTTCATTCGAAAGCTTATATATTTTTCTATTCTCAAACTTTTGCACCACATGGTTATCTGTTTGCACCAACGGTGAAAATGATGTTTGAAGTTTGCAGGTCGCGAGCGCTCGACAAGACGAATTTGTTTTTACTGGCTTTCTTGCATGCTACTGGTTTGGCATAAGTTAATTTGGGAGAAGGTGACAACTAAGAAAAGAATAACAACACTTATGAAAGAAACCAAAATAAAGACGTCATCATTATCATAAAAACACTAAAACCAGGAAATAAAATTTTAGTCCGTTCAATAATTTGTTTTATTATCAGAGAAAACAATAACTCAAAACAAAAGATGGGCGGGATTTAATAACAACTTTGACTTTGATGACTGCAGTCACCGGGAAACTAAACATGCCTATAAATGACTTTCATTCAAGAAAATGCCTATTTAATTCTTTTACATGGTTGTTCTTTTGTTGAAGACTTCAATAATTTCAGACTGTGCGGCTCGGCTGCATCTCATGCAAACACGAAACTTCTAGCTGCTAAATACATGGCATGAAAAGTTCGACTTCTAAAAACCACTGAACCAGCTTTCGCTCTCTGATTCTGAGAATGAAAAAATATATATTAAAATAGAGTTGTCAACTTGCTGCCAACCGGCTCAACAGTATAATTAAGCTTATGTTTCATGGCAATCAACCCAGAAGAGTTTCGTTTTAAAACACGGTAAAACCCACTGGTAAACAAAACTACAAAGCGATTGGGTGTTGTCGTTTTCCAAATAAAGTTTGAATCGGCTTTAACACATGTAGACTGAGAAACTGAAGAACTGAAAATTAGAACTACAACACACAGGCTTGCAATTATAACGTTTTAATTTTATGTCTTAGTTTCAGCCAGGTTAAGTGAAAAATAACAGTCAAAAACTTTATTTTCGTGAATGAAAATCAGTTTACCTGACGCTCTAGCCAAAATTACACACTGAGTTATTATCATCTTACCTTTTCTGAATCTAATCGACTAATTGTTTCAGTGATCTGTGCCTGGTTATCCACAAAAGCAATTTCAATAACTACAAAATAGTCAAAAACACGAGCAGCATATAAAAGCAGAACAACTGAATCACAAGCTGCACACAGAATGAAGCCGAGAGCACGCGGGAAACTTTGATCTGACTGGAAAGTGTGACTGAAAAAGAGACCGGAAATGCTCAACCTGGCGCATGCGTAGACGTTTTGCCGTGGTGTTGCTCGGGGTATGCAGCTACCTTTTATGCAGCAGACTTTCTTAGAACTTTTAGGGTACATTGAAAAAAATCTGAGTCAGTCAGTCAGTCAGTCAGTCAGTCCAGTGCGGTCCACTACGGCACGGCGATCCATTAGTTTGCCTTCAGCCCTTTCCGCTTTGCCTGCCGGCACACGACTGTTGGTTCAACCCTCTACCCTGTATATTCAGTTTATAGTCCGGACAGACAGAAGAATCATTATGACATCCTATCATTCCCCAAGGGGCATGGTAGGAAACCATTGTTTGGAATTATTTTCACAAATAATCTAATTAAACTTTGGAACTGCTGGCCCGAATTTGATTCTGCTTAAATTTTAGTCCCATTCCTTTTTTACCTGTCTTTATTTGATCTTCACTTAGTAAGACAACCTTTAGCAAGAGAAGGTTAAACTATTGGTGCATGAAGCACCAGTTTTAAACTGACTGACTGATTTGATGGACAAATATCATCAGGATTCAGATTTTAGTTTGATCGAGTCTGTTTGTCAGTCAGATTATAAATTTTCAGTCAGATTGTCGGAGTTTTTTTAGACTGGCAGCACCTACAGTAAACACCTGCTAACCTAGTATGTTTTGAGGTCTGGCAAAAAAAGGCTCTGTTATTTTGAAGTATTTATTAGTAATTAAGGCTAACTAGTTTCTTAATTAGGTTCTTTATTTCTGTGAAGGAGACATAGATGTTGACTATCAGAAAAATTAAGGTCCATGAGGACAATTACAATCTGTAATTTTTATAAGCTTTTTTTCGTTGTAGGAATTACGGCAATACTTCTATTTGTAATTACAGTTTGGTACAGTATTGTGATATCAATTGGCAATCTCGAAGTCAAAACTCTTGGCTGAAATGTTTATCTTAATTTACATGTAATCCACATAAAAGACCCTGTTTGCTTTTGCTAAACAGGTTCTTATATTTTTGGGTACTTAAGTGCCAAATTTCTGACCACAGATTCTTATTCTACAGACTGTTCTTATTGGCGAGTGCTGTGTACTTTTGGTAGCTTTTCCTCTACTTGTTCCGCGTTTGTTCGTTAATGGTCCTGTTTCGTCAGCCATTCTTCAAAACTGCTATTATTATATTATATTTTGCAGGTGAATCAAACCCTTCATCCCCAAACGCCGAGTCCCCCAAATCTCCGGTCAGAGACAAGAGCAAGCGAGTACGTACTTTCATCACAGCCCAGCAACTGAGTGTACTAAAATCTGTGTATCACTCTTCTCCACGGCCTGACTTTGCCGAAAGGCTCAGGATCTCTAAGGAGACTGGACTGGACATGCGCGTGGTGCAAGTTTGGTTCCAAAATCATAGAGCGAAAGAGAGAAGACAAAGCGAGAAGGGGAAAGACCCATGGATAAACATATTCACCAAGACAGCAGCAGCTGCAGCCAGAAGGCGGTCACGTTCGCTCGAACTGACAGGTACGCCTTGCTCTCCTCTACACGAGGCCGTTCATTTTTCAGATCTAATGTGTTCTGAAGATGATCGCGGACCAAGCAAATCAGGTAAAGAGGATAAAAAAGATGATTATTAACTTAAGAATTTAGTGTTTAATTAAGGAATACGGATTTGTGATTAGTTTGTTACGTGATGTATTCACTTGCAATATCAAAATATTCAATATTATGGACAAACATTTAACTGAAACTGTGTTCTTTTCGTTACAGCAAACTCCATTTTAAATGTTTCTCAACAACTAGAAGATTTCAATCAGCCAGCTGCTATAGTAGCCAATCACAGGCCAGCTTCCTTTACATCTTCAACTTTACATAATGTGGTAATTCCGCCTCTGTCTCCCGCAGTGCATGATGTACTTTCCAGCCCCGGATTCGTATTCACTGCTGCTCACAGACCTTCCAACTTTCCTCCGGTGCAAGAACTTCTGGAGATATGCGAAGAGGAGCTGCGAACGCTGACCAACCAGGAGACTGGTGTCTACCCCAATCAACAGAGCCCCACACACAGCTACTACGCAGACTCGGAGAGTGATCGATCTAACATCAATACACCCGCTGAAGAGCGATATTTTGTGTTTCCAGATGTTCCAGGCACACCTGATAAGAGGAGATACTCCTCCCACCCAACGGTTTTTTCTTTTGATCCTGAGACAATTAATGGCGCCACATAAGGCGCGCCATTTGCATAAGTTGGTTGATCACGGCAGAGTTTCATTAGGTTTGACTGACCATAAAATTAACTTTCATCTTCACTTGCTAGTTTAGTAAACAGCTTTGCAGTGAAACTTGGAGACATTTCCTATCTGGACAATAATTAAGATCTGATCCTTATGAATACTTTCCTCCAATGGAACTCCGATACAACGAACTGATCCCGGTTAGATAACGAACGACATTCATTATGAGTCAAAAGTACGGACTAAGATCAACTTACCCACTCCGTTATACTGATCAATGATACAGATTGCAGTCCTTTGCACCTCTGCCGGGGTTCTATTGGACTATCTACTGAACGTTGGCTGAGCTGCCTCTGATCTTTAATAGCAGCTTGTGGCATCACGGACGACAAAAATTCCTTCGTTAATAACTTAATAGCCCTAGTGGGAAATAAAACAAGCTTGACGAGGCCACACACACCAAGCACAATTTTTATTTTGCAGAACAGTTATATAAGGTCTGCTAATACGCGATTTTGCACTAATCGCATACTTTCCGATAAATAGACCAAATCATGCCATCAGCATTACGTATTCAGACTAGTCACTGAGTGGGCTGAAAACAAAATAGGAGGCTTAAAACAAAAAAACCTGATCCCGCTCGATTATCCCCGCAAGCCGCTTTATTCGTATTATAAGGTCAGGGGAGCTATTTTAATCGGACATTTCGTGGAAATGTTTTGACTTTTTTCAGGTTTTCATCTCGTTGTCAGCCAATTGACCGTGCGTGCGAGCTTACTTCAGGTTATAGCCATAGAAAGACAATAATTGTTGTTTTTTGAATTACAATACACTTTTCGTACTCAGCAGAATGCTATCAAGACCTGTAACTCGTCTGAAAAGGCCAAATAGAACAATTTAATCAATGTATAAAATAAATCTTATTTGTTACTTGTAAGAATGTATTTATCGCACAACAATATTTTAGCATTATTTAACATGATATAACTCCTAGTATGTACTATTAACGATTATATTCTTATGCTGTTTAGTCAGTGGCCGTAGCTGCAATATATATATATATATATATATATATGAAGATAAAATAATCATCATTTCACGAGCGTGGGACAAAGAAAAAATCTGAGTCCCGGACAGGATTCGAACCTATGACTTCCTAAACACTGGGCGGGCGCTCTATCCACTGAGCTACGGAGAACTCAGAGGATAGAGCGCCCGTAACTCAGTGGATAGAGCACCCGTAGCTCAGTGGATAGAGCACCCGTAGCTCAGTGGATAGAGCACCCGCCCGGTGTTTGGGAGGTCATAGGTTCGAATCCTGTCCAGGGCTAAGGTTTTTTCTTTGTCCCACGCTCGTGACATGCTGATTATTTCACCTCCACATTTGTTCACCGAGCCCAGTTAAAATTTACCATCTTTCATTCTTTCACTAATAAATATATAGTTAGGTGGTGCACATTTCAGACGGACTTTGCATAATACATTTGTATTGTGCGCAAATTTCTTAAAAATGTTAAAATGTGCAAAACAGTAATCAGAAAATATATAAATAGCAGAACAAAATAAAAATTAACAGTACAATGTTACAATGATACAAAATATAACCTAAGTCAGTAAACAATAGCTGAACAAGTAAGGCTGAGATCGCTGCTGACATCGTTGTGATAACGATGGCATAGGTGACAAGTTTCCATGGTTTTCACTACAATGGTAGCCATCATATGGAAACCATGGAAACCAGGCTTAACAGATGGGCATAAGGAACTGTTTTTCTACAGTGCACGCCTCTCTTTTTCCCGATCTTTCTTTGATTTCCTCTTGTACTAGGTAGCAGGTACTGTAGAATTTTTCTGTGGGATTTTCGTATTTTTTTCTCTAGAAAATGACGAAGGTAATTTGATGACCCCGTAGCAGGGTGGTTGTCATTTTGAAACTCAAAATTGAACACCTGTCACCAGTAAAGCTAGTTTTGCCCTGAATCATATTTGATGTTTATTTTTGCTCAATAAAATGGACACATTCTATTACGGACTCTCTCGGTTTCAAAAATGCGACAAAAACGTCTTACAATCCCCACCTCTGCACTAGTACACACGGATACCTCGGCCTATCAGCTTTGTCACCTCTTATCTATATATGTCCGTCGTATTGATTATAACTCAGTAAATACAAATGCTTGTCTCGGCTTCCGCCGGCCCTGAAGCGAATATTGAGCCATTAGGAGTGAAGCAGCAGGTATGAATCTCGTCCGTGTCACACTGTAAAAGAAGGAGAATGGAGAAAATATCAGTTACGAGAAGAGAAAGGCTCCTTAGCACCCTACGAGCAGTCTTCTCAGTTTGGTTTATTCTTGAGTGACACGGAAGCCAAAATAGAGCACGTGAACTGAAGACAGGCTCTGCTACCAAGGTCAGTCAGCCTTCCTAACCGGCCGGCAATTTTATCTGACGAAATTCGCATCTCGTATCGCGCGACAAATAGAATGGCACGTGCGAACAGCCCATCAGACCGCTTAGTTGGCTAGTTGTTTAGTGTCCTTACTTTAAGCGATTACCCGGAAGACAGCAAATACTGAAAGAGTCTGCACTGTCTACGGATGTCATGTAAGATGCCCCTTCATTGTAAAGTTACGGAAAAAAAGCTCTATCACGTCTGTTTTGCATTCCGCCTAAAGTAATAGCGTTACAGCGTGGTCATGTTAAAATAGCGCTACGCAGTGGTAATTAACTCTCATGACGACATTTTTAAAGTATATATGCGAACACGCAGTATTATAGTAACACTAAGAACCATCAAGGTGGAGCAGAATAAGCTACCAGGTTTTTCTGCTTGGAGTCTAGACATTGTTCAAGAGTGTACAGTAAGAAGTTTACAGTGTACGGCGGAATATACTTGTGAGTTCAAAAACTGGTGCGTGACTACTCTTTTACTAGGATACGTCACATATCAAAATCAACGTCCTCTACTTCTTCCACAGTGCAATATTTAAGTCGAACAAATGATAATAAATCTTCGACAAAGCTGGTGCGAAATTGAGCCATTCGCTTACAAGTACTAAAGTCATTCTATTCACCTCAAGTTCTTTTATGCACTTTCCATTTTCAATGTCCCACAAACGAACCTAAAAAATACATGGGAACGTTTAAGATCAATGAAAACAGCGCTAAGGAGGAAAGAAGGAGAGAAACAGAATTTTCACTTGGCGTGATACTTATTGATGTACAAATCAAATCTGTAGTTCCCTGTAGTTCCAACAGGATGCAAGGACTAAAAAGAAGTACTGAGCACGAAAAAAGTGAAAAAATAAAAAGCAAAAAGCATTAAATGCTTCATGTCTACCGTTTGATCATCGGAAGCGGAAACAAGTAACTTTCCGTCAGCTGAAAATGAACACGCCTGTCAAAGATGAAAATAAGAAATACAAATGTAAAAACATGCATACAATATAAAAAAATAATTAGCATATAAATAAATAAATGAATGAAATGCAATAAGGACATTGGGCGTACATAAAAAAAGAATGAAGCTGATATGAACGGCAGGAATACAAATTTAAAAGGAACATATGATCATCGCACTTGTAATCATAGTCTGCTGCAGAACAGGCGCTATTTTTACGCGTTTTTCAGGGAGGCACGAGACACGCCCGAAGTGGGGGACGTTATTCCGTGCCTTTCTCCGTCGTGTCTCGTGCTCCGTCTGCTTCGTGTTTCCCTGAAACCCGTGCAAAAAGCGCCCATTCTGCAGGCTATTGTAATCACAATAACTATGACTACAACTGGAATTGCTTAACCATTAAGCAATTGTAAATAAACGGTAAGTCCCTCCCGGAACCCAAGGCCGCTGCGTTGTTGCTGCAGTGCTCTACCAACTAAGCTATAAAGACCTATACGCTGGAAAACAGGCTAATTTGTTGAGCTCATCTTAATTCACGAAAATCGTGAACGCGATAAAACAAATTTGAATGAAGATGATGTGAACTGCAGGGATTAGTATAAACCTAAAGGAAGATATAAGAATCAAAGTTGTAATCGCAATTTATTCCTGCAAATTAAGCCCGAAAGCAACAACCCCGTGCTTAATTTCCAAATACAACTGCGATGGTCATATCAACAGATAACTTTCAGGAATTTTACTAAGAGTGAAATTTAAAATCCAGCGAGTCCGAATGTCAACAGTAATAGTGGGTAAGTGTACCTGAACCCAGCCAGTGTGTCCTTGCAGCACATGTAACAAGTCTCCTAATTCTGACTGCCAAATTCGAACGGTGCAGTCCCATGAGGCGGACGCCTGCAGTCACAACAAAATTACTCAAAAAATGCCCTGGAAAATTTATACTTAAAATTGTCTTGATATATTGAAGAATTTGATGAATAAAGTTGATGTCCTGCCATTTAAGTATCCGACACAAACGAGACACACTTCTTCACACGATTGAGTTACCATATTCCAAAACAATGGCCGCAAACATACATCCCATTACCGGCTCTGATGCTTCACACATCACAGCGCGATGCACTCTTGCTCATGTGAGACTGAGTGAATTATCTACCTCAACTCACTACAGAGGAGCCCGCTGAGTCAAAAGGATTATGTACCTTAAGCCCTATGCAAACGGGCTCAACATTGTTGGCCAACAACCCTAAACTTTGTTGGATGTTACGTGTTGCGCCCGTTTGCACACCCTGTTGCATGTTGTTGCGTGTTGTTGGGAGTTGTTGCGCAAAGTTTGAAACCGATCAAACTTTTCGCTACGTGCAAAAGGGACGCAACAACTCCCAACAATGTTGCGTCCGTTTGCACGGGGCTTTATGGTCAACAGTTATTCAATGTTTCAAGCCAGTTTTGGAAATAACTTCAATCATGTCGATAACTGTCACAATTATTTCTTCATCCAATCTCACTCAACTGTAATTGCAAACCTGAAGCTATGATATGAAAAAGGTATTTTTTTGTTTGTGCTAGAGATGATTTTAGGATCACCAGATACAAGCGCATCTGTTTTTTAACCATTTATACAGGCTCCATGCATTACTCACCAGTAAAGCAGAAGGGGAAAATGACACCGCGTGAATATTACTTGAATGTCCCTTTAAACACTTCACTTCCATTTTACCTTTACCTAGAGGCCACAAACGAACTGTACAGTCCCAAGAGCCTGTTGCCTGGTAAAAGCAAAATACATTATACCACTTAATACAAGACTGACTCTCCATTGTAGGAGATTAACAGCGTTGATGATAATGTCTGCCACTAAGTAAATTAATGCTTACATTTGGCTCTAATAAAACTGCGTTAGGATAGTACTTGTTCATTTCAAAAAAAATCTCGAAAAATAACTCTTTTTTTCAATGATCTGTTGTTTGTTTCTTGTTCCAGAAATTTTTAATAAGAAAAACCCAACCTTTTGTGTCTTTCTGGATTGACGAAGTCTAGCTAACTGATATAAACAAGCAAGACTGGTTATATCACCTCTTGTTCAACACTGACATTAACTGCAGGTCATAGCCATGAACTTCTGACTTGAATTAAAACATCAATTACATCATGGTTGGTCATACGGAATTTAAACATCCAAAAGGACATTAAAAAACACTTGAAGATTATATGTCAAGGGCAACAGAAACTTACCACAGTTGAACTATCGACAGAGAATGCACAAGACTGCACAACATTTCTGTGACCATCCAAAACAAATGCTGCAGTACCTGTCTAATATCAGAAAGAAAACACATTGTGCTTCAAGTGTGTATCTAATGATATATGACATACATCTACAGTTGTACTGACCTACAGGTAGCTAATCAAATTTTTCATTTTTTCTTTTGCATTTTTCGAAGACAATGTTATTGCCGTTAGACATACACTTATTAAATAGTTTCCAATGATGTGCTTTAGTCATTTACTCATACCCACGAGCCAAACTGTAATAAAGGCCACTTCTTTTATTTTCATTTAATAATGTAGGTAAGATGCGGTCCCTAACTGCCTTGTGAGGTTGTCTAGGGAGAGGACAAGGTTACGGAGTAAACCCTACAGACATCCAAAGTGGAGCCCCTACGGTGGATTGACAGTCCAATGGATGCCCCTCTGACAGCTCCTGCAGCTAAATTGGTGCTCAGCACTCCTTTGGATCCCACCAGTGCGGCCGAGAGGGGGACTCTAATGACCGGGCAACCCAGGGTCTCCATATCAACTGCCCACGGATATGCCCCAGAGAGGTCACGCCGGCTTTGTTTCAGTGTCGACATAACAACGAAGGCTCGTAGTTACGAGTTATAAGTCCAACCACGATTGTTGTAGATGAGAACGCCACGGAGAGCCTTCGACCGTGGGAAAAGTCATTGTGTCTCACAGGTCAGCTACCGCCTACCTCTAGCTGGGCAGCCCCCAGTCAGTTAAGGGCTGACCCACCAAGATCCGCCTTGCCTGGATCGGTGCTTAGGGCCTAATAACTCGCTGCACGACAAGTGGATCAGTCTTGCACCGGACAAATCAAGACAGAAAACCAAGAAGTCTCCAGCCCTTTGTATCTCAAGCTGGAATTTACGAAGCCTGGTCCCCTTGTCTTGAACATCACGGTTTCCTGCAGTATGCACGAAAATTGACAAAGACTTTTGGAACTTTGCCCCATGCACAATCTGTGCATAACCAACACCTTGCAAGTTGCAACATCATATTACATGGAAACATCCTTGGTCCCGCAGATGGCACCAGCTTGATCTAGTTATGACCAGACGAAGCAGCGTTCTCTCTACTTGCAGCAACCACAGCGCCGACTGCGATACTGATCATTTCCTGATGTGCAGACACATCAGACTGCAGCCAAAGAAGCTCAACGGCACTCAGAGCATCACCGCAAATTTCTCAGTGAGGTAGAGAAAGCCCTCGAGGACCCCCAGGGTCAGGATGCCACCTCCAGATGGAACTTCATGTGGGAAGCCATTCACTCTTTGGCCATGTTGGAATTCGGTAAAATAAAGAGGCCCAGACATGACTCGTTCAACGCTCATGAAGTCCCTTATTGAGGCCCAACAACAAGCTCTCTTAAACTATAAGACCCCGTGTGAGAAAACTCTGACAGCGCTCCGCGCAGCTCGCAGTGCAGCTCAGAGGGCTGCCAGACGTTGTGCCAACGAAATACAGCTATCCACACACTTCGGCAACATCAGATGCATGTACGACGGCATCCACAAAGTTTTAGGTCCTTCAGAAAAGAAAAAACTTCCCCCTCAAAACAAAGTCCAGTGAACCCATTACAGACCCCAAGGAACAAAAGGACAGATGGTGAAACATTACTCTGAACTCTATCTGCGTGAGACTTTGGTTACCGATGCTGCCTTTAACTCTATCACCCCATTCCCAGTTATGGACAAGCTTGACGCTAAACCTAACATTGAAGAGCTTAGAAAGGCCATAGATGCGCTCTCAAACGGGAAAGCTCCTGGCATCCCACGTTCAGCTCCTTAACGAGCTGCTCTGTCTCTGCTGGAAGGCACCGTGCCACAAGACATGCGTGACGCCACCATCATCACGCCTGACAAGAACAAAGGCGACCGCTCAGAATATAACAACTATCAAGGCATCTCTCTCAAGAGCATTGTCAGCAAAGTCTTCTTCCGCGTGCTCCTCACAAGACTGCATGCCCATCCTCATCACCGCGTCTACCTTTGGCTTCACAATCAGTCTCAAGAAAACCAATGTGAGTGCGCAGTGCCCAAGCCCCTCAAATCAAAATCGGCGACCACACTATCGAGGTAGGCGACGAAGGCACTTACCTCGGTTCCACCATCTCTATGAACTCGAGGCTTGACTCAGAAATTTTCCGAAGAATCAGCAAAGCCACCGGCACCATGTCCAAATTGACCAAGACAGCCTGGGAAAGTAAATACCTGACTGAAAAGCCCAAAATGGACATCAACTAGGCATGCGTTCCCACTTGAACGCTTTCCATCTGTGATGCCTCAGTCGCATCCTCGGTGTCAAGTGGCAAGACCACGTCACCAACAGTGAGATACTGTCACGTACTGGAACCCCAGCATGTACTCCCTACTCAGTCAGCGCCGCCTCAGATGGCTCGGGCATGTTCATCGCATGAATGATTGACGCATCCTCAAAGACGTTCTACACGAACAATTGACGACAGGAGAAAGTAAATTGATTGAAATTGATCCAAACAACTTGGAAGTTGCTAGGAGTGATCGTGCCTGCTGGAGACGGACAGTGAAAGAAGTCCATCGAGAGAGCAGACTTGAAACGTCACAAGAAAGCTGAGAAGAAACGCGCACGCCGCAAAAATAACTCCCCTCCTCCGACTTCATCTGCGCCGTGTGCAGTAGAGACTGCCACTCGCACATTGGCTTACACAGTCACACAAGACGTTACGTCGCCACAAGCTTTGTTTCCCGAGACTTCGCCTGCCAACAACGTAAGATGCGAAGAAAACGGGTTCAGTTAACTCTACTTGAAGATTGCTGACAGGCTAAAATGTAGGGAGAGAGCTTTGGAGTGAGAATCAAGCCAAAAACTATTATTTTCAGTCCAGGATACTGGTGAAACATTTTACAGGGTCGTAGCTCGATTTTTTTGCAACGGGGGGCATTATATCGCGAGTACCGAAGGCACGAGTCTTGTCAGTAGGGGTTCTGGGGGTATCCTCCCCAGAGCATTTTCAAATTTGGAGGCTCCAAAACGCTATTTTCAGCACTTGTCATGAGAAGAGTCTCCGAAAAATCGACCTCTAGACAATAAGTGTGAAAATGTAGGTGTTTTCAGTGTTAACAAGTGCTTATTTCCGAGGTCCTGTTAATTTGAAACATACCGTATATCCAAGCACTAGTACACTAAACATTTCACAACACTGCATGATGTTTGGTTAACTAATTTTCGTTCGCAAATTGCCGTCTCTGGTTTGTTCTGCACGGCGACCGAATCGTAACTCTTCTTCCATTTGGCTACTTCTTCTTTCTCTGCATAAGTCATAAACTTGCCGTAGTAAGTGCAGATCGCATCAATTTGACTTTCCGTTCAGGTGGACCGGTACTAGATTTTGGGCTGCTTTCAGTCCTTTGTGGTCTTCTGAGAATCTGGTTTCTAGTTTCACATTCCCATGATCAATAAATGGGTAATAAACGTTAACAAGACCACAATATGAACTGAAGCACACACTACCAACCCCGGGGAATGGCTAGTACCTTACGCATGCGCACAGCCATATCACCCTGGCAGTGGCAGCCATGGAAAGCTGTTGCGTCCTTGTTAGGACTCTTCAGCATGGCATAGCCAACACGGTCTCACTTACCATCACAGACCCTGCCGTTTTACTTTTACGTTAACCCTGTAGTAGTCGGATGGACTCTGTTCTACGCGATTTCCAGCAGCATTGGCTCAATGAGACGTTTTTAGTGCAAGGTTTCACCATGGTGACGTTGACAGCTGTGCCAAATTTCTCTATTCTCATCCAGACCTCTTCCCAGCATGTATCCTTCCTGGCATTTCTGATGCATTCCTTTGCTAGAGCAACATCACGGTAGGCGTCTGCAATGTTACAGTGAACCTTGCAAATAGTACATATACACGCCAATTTCAATAGGGGGTTTTGCTTCCTTTTACTTACTATTTGCACACACCGTGGACCAACCAATGCCTCGGCCATGAAAATGCAAACAATTGGAAGTCACTACAATCGAATTAAACTGAGTCTAAAGAAAACAAATCCATCCACAGTCTTGATTTGTCTGGCTCAACAGGTCCATAGGGGCAGCTGCCCCCCCCCCCTTCTGCTAGCTAAGGCTCTTGATTTAGCCAATGAATCTTGTTTTGAATGAGAGCGAAAAATAATAGTTAAATGAATGTACCTTTAAATTCCAAACCACTGCAGAGGTGTCCCATGATCCAGAACACAAGTATTTAGAGTCTGGTGAAAAGCAACAGGTCTCCACACTATGAGTGTGTCCTGCAAAGGAAAGGTTAGCAAATTTATTATTGTAAAGAGCAAGAGTAACTGCTTTAGAGAAAAAGAGAATTACATACATCAGAGTTAAGCTTGCAAGGGAGATAAGTGGCAAGGAATTTGTCAGTTCAGTCAAACCCCTTCCCTGCTACAAATCCCCAACACGTAGAGCAAATTATTATACATATTATTCATTCAAAATATTTCCCCATTTCTGATTGACTTAAATCTAGTGGCTAATTCTTCATAACCAGCTAGCGTTGACCAAATCTGGAAGACATTTGCGATATTTGGAAAATGCTATCAATAGAACAGCATGAATGCCAGAAAAATGGACGGCAGCTGAAAAGCCCTGGGGATGAGGCGTTGTTTTGGTAGAGTGGGAAGACCTTAGATAACAATGACCTCAACCAGGTTGTAGCACCCTGCCGTTTTAATGAAAACAAGGGTCTGGGTGGGGTGTTCAGTCTCGCTGACTCATAAAACCTGGTCTCGGTCATTCTTATTTAAGGATTTTTGGTAGAGTAGGACAAGTAGATTGATTATATCATATTATACCAGATTGATTATATCATGGTTAGGAGGCGCTTCATGACCAGTGTAAAAACCGCTAAGAAAAGAAGCTTCCCAGGAGCTGACATAAGAAGCGACCATGACCTAGTGATGATGTCTTTTCGGCTACGTTTAAAGAAGATAAAAGTGCAGGGCCCCTCAAGGATTGAGTTCGATCTTGAGAAGCTCAGAGACCCTCAAGTTGCAGATGTCTTCCAGGCAATGATTGGTGGTAAATTTGCACCACTTACCTTGCTCAATGCAGATGACACAGAAGTGGACAGACTCGTAAAACTCCTTCAATAAAGCAATGACTGAAACAGCTAGTGAAATTTTAGGCAAACGCGGAGCAGTCAAAAGACAGTGGGTCACGACTAGCATACTGGATCTATGCAACGAACGAAGAGCATTAAAGAAGGGGAGACACGAGACAGCAGAAGGGGCAAGAATTTACAGAGCAATTAAACAGGAAATTCAGAAGAGCATAAAAAAGGCAAAAGAGTCTTGGATTGAAGTTAACAGTGTCAAGATATTGAAGATAACATCAGGAAGAACAATAGCAAGAAAGCATATCAGCTAGTTAAAACTCTAACTAGCACCAAACAAGCAAAAACCAACACCATACAGGACAAAGAAAGGAATTGCCTCACCGAAACCAACGACATTCTAGAAAGGTGGACAGAATACCGTGTAGAACTGTACAGCCACACAGTCATAGGTGACTCTGAGGTGCTGACTGTCCCACTAGTTACCCACACCGACAACTACCCAATCTTGCGGGAAGAGGATAAAGCAGCTGTGAAATCGCTCAAGAAGGGAAAATCTACAGGGATAGACAATATCCCGGGAGAGCTGGTACAGGCAGGAGGAGATGCCGTGATAGGTGCCTTGCGTAATATATAGATTTAGCCAGGGCTAAAAGCGAAGCTCTCTCGTGTAATGCTAAGCGGCGAAGGCAACGCCGGAGAACGGTGAAAAAACAGCAATAGGTCTAATTAGCAAAAAAGCAACTTTGCAAGTGCAGCAAACTTTTTTTGTACATTTCTTTGCCGTTGTTTTGCACGACTACAACGTGAAACTTCCTGAAACTTTTGTATGGAGGAAATGTCGTACGTGTTCTCGTTCACTTTTTTTTCACTGCCGCTCATTTTCTCCTTGCATTGGTGGCCGCTAACATAGTCACCGCAGCTACAAAATGTTCATGTTGTTCTTCCAACAAAAAAATGTCTCCTTTGCTTTTTATCTCTCGCTCTAAATCTCTGTCGCCCTTTTTCTCTTTGAGTTTCGCTGGCCTGCCGCTTTTCTCTTTTTCTCTGCCTTTCTCTTGCTCTATATTCCAAATTTGTGGACATGACAATTAATCGAAGCATAATACTTCAGAAAACACGGCTAGAGAAACAATTTCTGCTTTTTGGTTTCGTCTTTATTGACTCTTTAGCTGCCTCTGCTTTACAAGACGCGGGTGGCTATGCGATTTCCCGCCAAAATAACCTTGAGTTGCATTTGAGTTGCCATACCTGTTGATTGAGTTAATTAACATTGGTATGCCTGTGGTGAGGACGGACGATCGGGCGTACGGTCACGTGATTACCAAATTTTCTCGGATGGGTAGATTACCACATTTTCTTACCCATGGTGCTCCGCTGCGCGCGCTTCGCGCGCGAGAGCTCCGCTAAAATCTGCAATAAGATATGGCAGACAGGAGAGTGGCCCATACCATGGACCCAGTCTCTTATCATCACTATTCCCAAGAAAGGCAACCTTCAACATAGCAAGAACTATCGCACAATCAGCCTGATATGTCACCCAAGTAAAGTCCTGCTGAAGGTGCTGTTAAATAGGCTGAAGCCTCAGGCAGAATCAATCATCTCAGAGGAACAGGCAGGCTTCCGATCAGGTTGCAGTACGACAGAACAGATCTTTAATCTTAGGATACTGTGCGAGAGGTACCTCCAACATCAACAAGACCTCTATCACGTCTTTACTGATTTTAAAAAGGCGTTTGACAGAGTATGGCATAAAGCCCTAATTTGGTCTACTATGAGGCTTTAAAACATTAACTCCGACCTGATCCAAGTCATTAAAAACCTCTACAACAAGGCCACTAGTGTAGTCTACCTTAACGGTGACATAGGAGACTGGTTCAGAACCACAGTCGGAGTCAGACAAGGGTGTCTACTCTCACCAACTCTATTCATCATCTTTCTGGAGAGAATTATGACTGACCCACTAGAAGATCACCAAGGAACAGTCAGCATTGGAGGCAAAACAATTACCAACTTACGCTTTACTGACATTGATGGCCTGGCAGGAAAAGAGGAGGAACTAGCCTCCCTGGTGGATCGCCTGGATAAGACCTCTGCAGCCTTTGGCATGGAAATTATGCAGAGAAGACCAAACTGATGACCAATAACGCGAATGGCAACAGCATTGACATCAGGATCAACGGTAAAAAATTGTACGAGGTTGACAGCTTCAAGGATCTGGGTGCAGTCATCACAGATCATGGTTCCAAGCCTAAAGTACTGTCCAGAAATGCACAGACAACAGCAGCACTAGTGAGACTGAAGACCATCTGGAATGATAAGCATATCTCTCTGAGCTCAAAGATCAGACTAATGTGCTCCCTTGTATCTCAGTACTATTGTACACCTACAAAACCTGGACATTGACTCTGGACATCCTGAAGAAATTGGCAATATTCTCATACCGAGATCACATCACTAACGATGCAGTCAGAGACAGAATCAGGCAAGCCATTGGGCACTATGATGATATCTTAACCACGGTAAAGAAACGCAAGTTAAAGTGATTTGGGAATGTATCAAGATCATCAGGGCTTGCAAAGACAATTTTACAAGGAACAGGGGCACCCAGCGGCAATTTTCGGAAAAAATCTGTTCGGAAGATGATTTGAGATCTAGAATTTTCGGAACATTTGTTGTAAAATTTCTTGCTCGCCTACCTCTCCTAGGATTTTCGAACATCTACAAAATGGTATAATTGCCCATTTTCAACGGATTTTGACCCTAAAAAAGGCCACCTAGAATTTTCGGGAGCCTTTTCCTGGCTGAAATTTTCGAGAACCTAAGTTTTTATCCCTATAACTTTCGGATCACTTGACTTTCAGCTAGGAAATACGAACAGATAAAAAGTTTTTAGGGGATAAAAATATGCCTATATCTACCGTTTATATACTAAAATACTTTCAACAATGCTATGTTAAGTGGTTTTGAACTATATCCTCGTTGGGTGCCCCTGAAGGAACAGTGCAAGGAGGGAGAAGAAGGGGCCAACAAAAGAAGCGTTGGGAGAATAATATCTCTGAGTGGACAGGGTTGAAGTTTTGCAATGCTGTAAGAGAAGCTGAAAACAAAATCAAATGGAGGGAGAGGGTTGCTATGTCTGTGGTGGCCCAACGGTCATTGACTGTGGGATAGGTGCAGGTGCAGGTGCAGGAAAAGTAGGACACATTGTGGAACATTTCACATGTTTTGCAAAGAAGAAATAGCTGAACTACTGCCTAAAAACATAGCAGGAAAAGCAATTAAAGAGTACAACTTCACAGATGACAATTATTTTCAATGAATAATACAACAATGTTATTCCAATGTTTAGTTTTGTCACTGTCCATGAGCCAAAGTGGAAACCATATTAGGAATGGATAGATAGATAGATAGATAGATAGATAGATAGATAGTTTATTTGTAAAAAGCTTGCAGCTACTAAGCTGAATTGTGTATTTACAATATAATATATAATATGATATACCGTTAACAGAATCTTACAATAGTGAGTATAATAAAATGATAATGATAAAGTCCTAAATAAATAATAACATCCTATAAATATAAAAAAGCTTAAAACTGTTAAAATATATACAACGTCATTGATCTCATTTACAAAACTCACCAAGCACTAAAATTCGTTATCAATACATGATCTTACTAAAAAACTGTTTTTGAAATGCTTGGTCTTACATTTGGGAATCGCAAAACGCCTTTTGCACCGAAGATTATAACACGATGGACCTGACGATTGAAGCATGTTATGTAAGAGATGGGCCGGGTCATTAGCAATCGAGAGGAAGGTCTTTTTACATAAGCTAGCAATGTAGTCATTGATAGACATAAAATTTGAAAGCTCTAAGGCCTTTCTATAGGCCAGTCCCGGCAAAATGATTGATAGTGCCCGTTTCTCTACATTCTCTAGATCTTTCTTTAAATACAATGGCAGGGCATAGAAAAACGAAGGCAATGTGTAGGTCATGACTGACCTTATACAAGATGTGTAAAAAAGAATTAATTCATGCCTTGCAACATTGGCCCTTTTCAATTGTATTAGGAAATACATACGTATGGAGGCTTTCTTTATGATTTGATCAATGTGCATATTCCATGTAAGGTTGTTGGAGATTGTAACACCTAGTAATTTGGCGCTTTCAACACATTCTAGCCCTTGATTATTTACTACTATAGGCGCGAGTTGTGGTTTGTTCTTTGCAAATGAAATACTAAGCTCTTTACATTTTTCACTGTTTAGTTTTACTCTATTCTCAAAAGACCACTGCACGACAGTATCTGCAATCAATTGAGAATTGCTACTGGCTCCTTTCACAACGATCTCGGATGTAGTTGTATCATCAACATACTTCCAGATATTGCCTGCATTATTGATTTCTAGATCGTTGATGAGCACCAAAAACAACCTCGGGCCTAGTTTCGTCCCCTGGGGTGCCCCGGACAGGACTGAACCCCACTTGGAGTAACATCCCTCGAGAGTTTGATTCTCTGGGAACGATCACTTAGGAAATCTATGATCCAATTGATTATTTCAGGCAGCAGATCTAATTTGCATAACTTATTAACAAGAATCCTATGGTCTATGAGATCAAAAGCTTTCTTACAATCACAGAGTGTAACCCTAACAGTTGCTCCGTTGCCATCGCATCCCTTAGTCTCTCTTTCTCTGCTGAGACCAAGGTGGACAACACCCTCCGTGATCTCCATAACTCTTCAGATCCCACAAAAGCCAAATCCAATAATTATTATTACTAATGCTTCAATTAATCTCCCATGTTCAGCTCACACACCAAATACCTTTTTGGTATAAAACACAACAATTTTATAATAATTACCTTTTTTATCACAAATGAACAAAATTATTGATGGATCTTTGTACAGTTTGTGTATAATTTTCTGTCCAGGGAGAGTGAAATTAAACACATGATAAATTATAAACTATTATTGATATATATTTCCCTCAACAAACATAAAATTACTTCAGTTTTCAACACCTTCAAGACTGTAAAGCTCTTTTCCAGTTGTAGAACTCATAATTTTGACAGTGTGATCATAGGAGGCTGAAGCAAACATTTTTCCATCTGATGAAAAGCACACACACTTTATTGCACCTGTCCAGCAAACACAAAACATCAATCATACATGTAAATTATCTGAAGGTAGAATTTTCTTACAGTTCACAGATCTCTATCTAGACATACAGTGTGCTGATCAGCTTCTGATTGTCTCACAATAGTCACTTATCATGATATTACAACTGATTACCATCCTCATCAGCCAAAAGTCAATTACACTGTGTGGGCTTATCAGTATAACAGCATAATAATTATATAGCTATATGTGATTTCAATTCTCACCAATTTTTTGTGGTATTAATGAACTTGACTGCACCAAATGTACATAAATGTACCAAGGCACCTGGTGCCACAGTGCTACAGCTAATAATGAACACTAATGCCATTTTAATTACGGAGAAAATTAAGAAGAAAGAGGTCAAAAAGTTGCAATCAACATCATACTTAGGTAGCGTTCAGCTAGCCATGCAATCTACTCCAACAGTGGAAAGAACTGTGTATGAGGACAATAGAAAGAGTGTCTACAAAAAATACTTCTAAGAAATCAAGATTCACTTAAGGCCTCTTTCCATACACCTGTTCAACTGACTGAATGAGTGAGTAAGAAGCCAATAAAGCCAACACATTTTGATAGATTGTAACGTAAACAACTGCATTATTTCAGGTTTTACCTTCATGACTATCTAATGTGAATAAAACTTTTCCTGTATTGGTGTCCCATAACTTAACCAGCATATCATCTCCACCAGTCACAATTTTTGACCAGTCTGAAGAAAATGCACAAGTATTGACCTAAAAAAAACATAATTACACCATTTTCAACTGAAGTACAAGTAAAGTACAGGACATAGAATTGAAGAACTTCTCTTAATTCAACACAGGAGAAAAATCTTGAGATGGATCAATTTGCTTTGAAGATAATATATGATATCAAATTGAAGAAAGCTGAGCTGGCAAAATTTCAGAACATATCTCGCGTGTGAATTCACTGCTCATTATGAATGCAGCAATACAGAGATCATGAATCTGAAATCTATGACTACATTAATATTGTACTGAAAGATTCAGCTTTCAAATAATGAACTCATTAATGGACTCTAAGAGGCCAAAAACACGACAACTTCCACCAGCACAAAAGTACCAAAGTACCATTCAAAGCTGTAAATACTTAACACTAATGACCATGTTGGCTGTGAGCATTAAAGTTACCTCAATGTATATATGTAGACATTGAGGACATTGTGCTGTTGATTACCATCGTAGTCAGTAGTGAAAATCAGGGAATGATGGTTGCATGAGTACAAACTTTTGTACTGCAGCAGACAATGTCTGGATTTTGTATCTAGGCCTACTCAAGGGTGACTTTTTCAGCAAGCGATTCTCGTCATACGTCTGCATTTTCTGTGTCATTTTGAATAACTTAAGTTGTGTCACACAAGAAGCCAGGATTATAATATTCGAGGCTACCATGCTTTTGAAGTTTGTAGTGATATGTTTATCTTTTTGACAAAATATAACCATTAAATTGCCATATAACCTTTTTACAATCTACTTCAAATTTTTATAGACCATACTTGAGGGAGAGTAAGACATGTCGAAATCTGAAGCAGTCTATGCGAAGAGCATTGACGAGAGAATGTTTACTTTGTCAAAAAAGTTTTCATGATCTTTTCCCTATTTTGAAATGATAATTGACGGTATAAAAGACATTTCACGGTTGGGGAGTTCATTTAAGATTTGGTGCCGAAGCTTGACACCTGTTGAATGTGCATTATAAACCTTTCAACTGCCGTGTAACAAAGTGAAAACCACAAGGAAAACGGCTATATTCAATACGTCTTATGAAGCAAAAGATCAGCCGTGACATGAGAACCCAATACAGATAACATGGATCATGAGGAACATCTGGTTTATATCAAGTTGCGGTGAAAGGGTGTCTTTAATGGGATTGCCGAGTATTCCAAAGGCTAAAGAAAGACTAACGGACCCTGCATGAATTGAGTGCACCATTAGCTCTAATATTATTTGAACTTTTAAACGGAGGTTGAAACTTATTGCCATATAACCTTTTTACAATCTACTTCAAATTTTTATAGACCATACTTGAGGGAGAGTAAGACATGTCGAAATCTGAAGCCGTCTATGCGAAGAGCATTGACGAGAGAATGTTTACTTTGTCAAAAAAGTTTTCATGATCGTTTCCCTATTTTGAAATGATAATTGACGGTACAAAAGCTAATCTGGAGCAAAGAAAACTCGAACGCCCTCATTAATCTATGATTACTAAGTATCAACGATAATTACCTCATCGGTATGACCAATTAAGGACCGGAAATTTATCTTGGTTAGTTGCCTTGGCGATACAAACCCACAGTCAGCACTTTCATCATCATCATCATTATCATCTAAATCGATGAGGGTCAGAGATTCGCTTTTGTTTTTCCGTTCTTCTTGTTCTTCATATGATCCTTGTAACTGACTCGCCATTCCCACAGCCTGAGTCGCCTGGATAATCACAATATTAAATAAGTAGCCACTTGATTCGGTTGTCGTTCAGCACCCGTTCAGCACCCGTTTAGCATCCCTGTGTATCAGCATTTTCACAGAAAACACAATCGATAGTATCTTTAAAAACTATTTAACTTCTTTTGAAGGTTACAAGGTGAAATATTTGGCACATCAGAGAAGCTGAATTTGTATTTTTCCAGTTACTCCAATTTCCAATTTGTTGCCATGCAAAAACTGTCAGGCGACATCGTGAAGGAAAAGGAAGACTAAAGCCGAGGGTCCAGTCTTCCTCTGCATTCTAACATACCAATATGGCGTTTGTATCCGATTACTCTTGAGAGAATACTCAACAAGCAAATACTTGAAATTTCATCGTATTATTTAAAACACAGGCATCACAGGCTGATCACAGTGTGGACTTGTTGCTTGCTTGAGTTAATATTCGGTTGTCTTCTCTTCCACCTGTTTCAAGTTACGTGCAGAGAAAGTAAGCTTAAGGATTACTCATGAGCGAAGCTCTTTTTGGAATTACACGTAAAACCTCTAACAGGTTTTAATTGTCTTGACATTTCACGGTTGGGGAGTTCATTTAAGATTTGGTGCCGAAGCTTGACACCTGTTGAATGTGCATTATAAACCTTTCAACTGCCGTGTAACAAAGTGAAAACCATAAGGAAAACGGCTATATCCACCACGTCTTATGAAGCAAAAGATCAGCCGTGACATGAGAGGGTAAAGGACAATTTTTGAAAAACATCGTAACCCGATACAGATAACATGGATCATGAGGAACATCTGGTTTATATCAAGTTGCGGTGAAAGGGTGTCTTTAATGGGATTGCCGAGTATTCCAAAGGCTAAAGAAAGACTAACGGACCCTGCATGAATTGAGTGCACCATTAGCTCTAACATTATTTGAACTTTTAAACGGAGGTTGAAACTTATTGCCATAATTCAAGGTCAGTCAAGAAGAGAATTTATCAGACTTGTTTCCTAGCCACTGGAAGTAGGCTTGGTCTTTGAATTTACTCTGTTAGATCGAGACGTCGAATCCAATCAGTAAATTTGCTTTCGGAATGTTTGCTTAAATGCCATGGCTACGGAAGATTTCCAAGATATTCTAGAGCGCCTTTACTATGACAGACGGCTACTATCTGCATTGGTTTTTGAGCCTCTTCAAGAAATCAAAGATTTTGTGGCTCGAAATTTGAGGTCGGATGAAATACCTCGCATTGCTGGATTGCTTGGTAATGCTATTCGGAGTGACACCTTGAGAACTATTACCGACGGGGAGGCTTTAATTGCTGTTCTTAATCTGTACTACGGCAAAGATAATTTGCGAGTTTTACAGCGGCTGTTGAGGAAGATCAATTGTCACGATCTTCTCGAAATTTTGAGTGAATGGGATGTGAGAAGCAATCCGGTTAATTCACGAGTTTTTCGAGGTATGTCATGATGATTTATATCTTTTCCTTGTTTGTTTTCTTTTGACCTTCTAGCTTGTTCTTATCGGTTTAAAATCGCCTTAATTCGGGGAAAATTAAATGTTATCGAAGGATTACGTCTGTTATTCAAGCTTTACTGTTTTTGTGGGTATGCAAAACACATGATACAAGTATGTGCAGACCTCATGCGGCGATTTATGCCTGTGGGCAGTTTAAAGCAGTCTTGATCCTTGCAGGACAAAAACTTGATGCTTTTCCCACGAAATACTAAATTATGTAAAGAAATACTGGTGTCTGCTTTGTTCCCCAGGGCTATTTTGTTTGTCCCCTGGGAGAGATATTAGAGTTGAAAAAATCATAGACAACAGCACAGGTTATGCTAAATGGATTTGTTGTGGTTCAATTTTATCCCTGGTTTAATCCTTTGTTTGAGACTCATTACCACACATTACTATACCCTAAAACAAAGGAAAATAATATTCACACCAGAAATAAATACATACATACATACATAATTTATTGAACAGTCTAGTACAAAAGACAGCCAAGGGCTGACTTGGATCTTATTTTTAATATTATACATTACATGAAAAGTTAAGATTCCTAGATGGTAGATAAACATATCATTGCTCATAAAAAAGTTAGTCCATATACAGTTTAATATATTATAAGTAATAACAGCATACAATTGACACAAGTCTGTTTCATGACCTGACTAATTTGATCTTCATTACATTTCTCCTAAGCAACATTATTAAATCTGTTAAGAAAGTCAATTTCCTCATTTGACTATAGTGTTCCCGTATAATTTCTGGTCCCAGGCTAAACAAATTGTCCTTTGAAAACAAAGTTTGAAAATAAAGTTCTGTCATCATGATTTTCGAAATTTGCAATTGTTGGATACACATGTAGTTCTACTTGCCAAGAACTTTCTTTTAAACAAATTTCAGCAAAGTTTATTTTTGTGTAGACTTACAGAGCAAAAAAGACTTTTTTGTTACAGGTGAAATGCCACAAAAATTCTATTTTCTTTGTTTTGTTGAAATGAAAATCAGGCCAAGTTGAGCATGCATTTTCAGGTTCAAGTCAGTAACCTGTGAACCAATTGTGCTGAAATTTGACCAACTTACTGTCATGTACAGTAGTTGTTCTAAAGAACTGTGCCTGCAAAGTTTGATTTGTTTTCTCATTTTTGAGTATTTTTTCACAGACATATGTTATCCTTATCTTCATCTGCTCACAACAAAAGAACAATATTATTGCAATAGACAAAATCTGAAAATTATGCATTTTTGTAGTCAAAGGTGTCAAGATATGAATTCTATCTTAACCAATTTCTGCTGTTTGTTTAAGGCTGGCCTGGACTCAAATTTACAGATACTTCTAGTTTTGCAAAAAGCAGTTCATTTCTGAAACATGTAAACATGCACGTGTTGGATTTTTTAAAGAAATTAGCTGTTATCTGGAATTATTAAACTTTCAAAAAATGTATGTTTTTAGGGGTATTTATTGAAACTACAATCACTCTTGGGTGATACTAACCTGTGAGCAAACTCTCCAGGACGTTCTTGCAGCAGGGCAAAAAAGGAGGGAGAGGCAGGCATGCAGTCATGTCTCAGGAATTTGACTTTTGCCTTCGGTTCCCCCCATATAGAGGCAGCATGGCCCAGTGGTCTGACAACAGCCACTTGACTTGTGCTCTGCAGGCCATTAATTTGCTGGATTTGTTCTTGGTTGTCTTGATTAATGCTTGTCAATAGCTGATTGGAGTCCTGCCTGACAGTTGGGGTTTTTAATCCTTTTGTCTTTTATTTGAATTATTTGTTTCTAATTATTTGAGTGGAGTGTCTGTAAACTAGCTGGATAAGATAAGTACACTTTTCCAATACAACAAACCATAAACCTTGAAACGTTGTGCTTCCCTGTTGACTAAGCTCTCAGATTTTGGCCAGTCAGTGTGGAAAAGAAATGAGTAGGGAATGTAAACAAACATGGAAAAAGCACATGAAAAATGAATTTCCCAGGAACAAACAAAGCCAGCTCAGAAAGTAAAGTCACAGTGAAGAGATGGAGGACTAGAAAGTTATTGAGTTTTTGTTTTCATAATCAGGTTGTTGGGGTTATTGTTGCATTGACATAATATAATTATTGTGCAAGTTTTGTGGCATAACTTGAACTCAGAGTGTAGTTCCTCTGAAAGTGTATTGAAACAAAGAAGTCAAAAACAACTAAATGTGTATCTCCTTCCTTTAAAATGGGAAGGGCAACAAGCTGAACAGATGTACACTGAACTGAATTGTCTGTTGCATAAGATGATAAAATAAAAAATGAAATAAAAAACTCTACCAAGAGCCCTTCTCTGTCCTGCTTCAAAGAGGCTATAGCAACTAGCAAATAACCCACCCATAGTGCAAGCTTCAAAGGGTAAAATCTCTGAAAGGGATCATCCCATAAGGGTAATGTAAAAGGACATTTCTAAAGGTTTCACGGCAATGAAGGTGTCTGGCCTGTTAGCCTGTGGGAGGACAGTATATCATCGCCTTATTGAAAACAACCAAACAGCATTTTGCATCTCATTCTGGGAAGCAGATGTTCAAATTTATGAGACAAAAATGCAAGCTCTCCTGTTTGTTTCCCTTTAGATCATTTCTATATAATTCTACCCTTGATAACTTGAACCATGTTTTAGGTGTGTGACAAGTCGAAAAAAGAAAAAAAAACAGTGCAGTTACTGAAACATTGAATTTATTTCAAAACAACCCTCTCAATTCTTTGACTTTACTTTTTTTGTCACTCCACTTCAAACTTAATGTTTATCAGAGTATATTAATCAACCCTTGTCACCTAATTTCTTTTTCGATGCCCTCGAAGTGAATTGTGGATGATACTTGCATTCCCTCTCCATCCATTTGCTTATCTCCTTACTCCTGGTTATTTGCTTCGAGCTCCCGACAACTTAAACTCCCGTTAACTTGCACTTTTTTCTATTTCCCTTGAAGGTTCGAGTTAGCGGGAGTCAACTGGATTTTTTTTAAAAATTACTATTATTATTACAAGTGAATTGTAAAAGTAAATTGTAATTATTTCACACTATATAAAGCTTTGCATTTAAAACTTAAAATAATTTGATCAAAAAGGGTTAACTTGTTTGTCTGTCTTTGCTGCCGCATACTTATACGACGAAGTCACGGTTCGAGGTTGTCCGCTACAGTGAAAAGTGATTCCATTTGCTTTTATTGAAATGGGATGGATGGAAATTGATCGCTCTTTTGTATATACAAATTGTATCAAAGAGAAAGTAAAATAAACTGTTTCAGCTGATTCTTAAGTCGTGACACAAGCTGATTAATAGAATGGATTTACAAAGAGAGATACCAATTGCTCTTACTGCAAAGAAAACAACAACTTAATAACAGCATACAAACCGCTAAGCTGAAACTTCTGTCATGTTAGGCACCTTTCAAACGTGGAATTTCTTAAAGTGTAGACTGTGAAAAACATTTGTTTCTCCTCGCTCTTCGTGGCTGGGGACGTTGCACGCAGAGGAACGTCTGCGACTCAGCGACAGAAATTCCATACTGATGACGCAAATCAATGTTTACATAATAAATCCGGTAGTCATGGGTTCCAAATATAAATTTGTCCAATCTTACGTGTCTTCTGGTCGATTTTGGTAAGTGTTGTGTTCATCTGCCAACGAGCTCCAGCAAATCTCAAATGCTTCTTCTAGAGAAGACTATATTCCACAAACATTGACTGTTTTGTTAGAGATTCTTCGCGTTTACATTTGACCTTTGTGGCCTTTTGTTTTTTGTCTGTCATTTGTAAACAATAGCTAAAACAATGTATCTACTCCATTGACCAATCAGCTCTTCTGACCGGATTCTGTCCACAGATTTTACGTCATCAGTATGGAATTTCTGTCGCTGAGTCACAGACGTTCCTCCACGCGAAACGTCCCCAGTGGCAAAGAGCGAGCAGAAATGGATGTTTTTGCAGGCTATTAGGAGTGCCGAACACCTATTTTAGTTAGTGAAATTAAATACAGCAGTTGATTCAGACGTGGGATATGATGATGCCGAATTTAACTCCATTTGTTGTAAATATTCCCAGTCTCTAGAAAATTTTTTTATCCAATATGGATAAGGGTTTCTCTCATTAATGCGTTTTATTTGGCACATATGAAATGCGACCTCTAAATCAAGCTGAAGCTAAGGGTGCTTTCCAAAAGTCAGAACTGACCGGCGGGACCAATCATTTTGACAATGACATAGGCTTTTACAAAGAGTTGTTTTTGAAAAACCATCTACTTCGTGCTTGCTATTTAGGATTTGAATGATCTGGCTGGATAGTCTTGATTAAAAGTGAACTTCTAGTTACGACGAGAATGGTTTGGGTGGTCAGTTCTGACAAATGGAAAGCGCTCTAAGTCGAATTTTTGACTGTTTCAGTCGCAGATTTCGACAAAGTCAAATTTAATTTGAAACTGTTGAAACTGTTGAATTTAGTTGATTCAGAGGTCCCATCTCAAAACAGTTACCTCTCGAATTAAATTAAGCACATGTGAAAATCGACGATTGAGCTGGGTAATGATAACAGTACACTCTGAGACATACCGCATCTTTTATATTCCTGCAAACTGTGCTTTCAATTTACCACATTATGTTAAGTCTAGCTATATGCACCACACAGGTAAAAAGGAGAGTAAAAAATAGATTTAAAAAAAGAGAAAAAAACAAAAGGTTAGGAAAAATTTGCTTGAAGGGGTTTCGAACCCTCACCCTCAGAATCAGTTAGAACTATAAGTTAATGCCTCTATCCACTGGACCACCTAGGTAAATGCTGACAGTTCGAGTTTAAGAGAGGTATATATTCCTTCTCTATGGTGTTGACAGTTTTCAAGAATGACTTTCTCGCTTTTTTGAAATTTCGGCGTAGAATTAAATCTTTAACTGATCGAAGCTAGACGTAAAGCTCACAATACACCCATTAATACTCTTTCAGGCTTGGTCCATGTCAGGGACAGTTAAGAAATTTATGAACTATCGATCTTGCGCCTACCAACTGAACCATATGACTGCGTGATTCGCTCGGCCTGCTCATAAGGTGTCTTTTCATTGGTCGGGGAAAACATTAACACAACATTGTTCATCATTATTTCCATTGTTTTAGGTTACAGTGGCAAATCATTTGGCTTTTAGGGTTAGAAGAGCTGCTACATGACCTCTCTATCCGGAATGAAGAAAAACAATATGGCCGCCAGATACTTCCTTTTAGTTTTTAAAGTTCTCCTCTAATATATAGATTTAGCCAGGGCTAAAAGCGAGGCTCCCATTAGAAAATTTATAATTTAAATTAAACAATAAACTTGTATTCGAATTCCACAATTCAGTTAACTTTAGAGCACATTTATGTGACTTTTGAGGGAAAGGCTACCTGATTTTAGAGAAAAATAATTTGCAAACAGCCCAAGAGTGAACCAAATCTTACATCGAGTTGATAGCCTCATATGTACACTCAAAAACTGGTAATCATCTTTTATCACATATAAGAGCCGTAATGGCTATTGATCACCGTAGATCAATTAGGCTTAGAAAAAAAACCAGGCCAACGTTTTGGCGTTTGACAAGTTTACTTTGCAAAATCTTGCCAACAAATCTGGGTGCGTGTAAACCAACCTTTTATACCGTGGACAGAAAGCAGTATTTCACAATACAAATTGCTCTCATTCAATATTCATAAACTGTTAAAAAAATTTTCCAAAATCACCTATACGGCCATCCGGTTCTCACTTTTGTAGTGCGAGCTGTAGCGAGTGTTTGAATGAACATTAACAGAGTTACGCCCAAGATAATAAAGAATTTATCATGTTTATTTTTTATTTGATGGTTTAACGCGCATTTTGAGAACTCCTGCAAGCGATGTTCACTGAACGACTGAAAACAATCGGCATAGCGATTAAAATTGCAAGAGAGACTACTAACAATCAATAAAAGAAATATAATTCGGTGAAACATAAACAGAGACAACAATTTTCATTCAGGAAGACAAGTTTTCAAGTGTCCCTAAATATCCTGAATCTTCAAGCTTCAAGCTTAAGTTTGCTGAAGTTTATGTTTTAAGCCAGCTTCCCGGTGTTTGTTTTTTCAAAGACGAACTCGAGGCAAGAAAATCGCTCAAAGCTTTCTTTTCCGGCTGGAATTATAACTAAAGATTCTTTGGAACATTTTCTTTCTACTTGCGGTGAGAAACTGTCTAAAGGCTTTTTAAAGTTCTGTAAGATTATATTAAACCAGATACTCGGTGAGATCGTTGTCTCAAATCTTACAAACGCGCATAAACTAAATTCCCGCACAAACTACGCTCCACTTCATTAAATTAGATACAAAAAACAAACATGAAATACAATAATTTCTCTGGCTTACCATTCGAGATGCAGCTCCTGAAAGTTATCAGGTAAAGCCAGTATCGCTTCAGACTTTGCAATCCTCTTACGCATCAAGCAAGGTGAAAACGAAAACGATGCCATCCGAAATCGGTTCCGACTTTGACAAGCGACGTTTTCTCAACCAAAAACCCAATAAACAAACTAGCCATGAGTAACAGAAGACTCCTGATAGCAGCTGAATTTCATTTTGTACATCCAGTGGAAAAAGACAGTTAAAAACATCACAAGTTGACACAAAACTCCGTCAGCTTCAGCTGTTAAAGTAAACAAGATTCAAGATGCTGCATAAATTTTGCGCATGAACTCACCTGTCAAATTTTGACCAATCAGAGCATAAAAATTGGACGTAGAGCGTGACCAACGCGTGACCATTGTGAGAAAAAACAAAAGCAGCTGTCTTCCCTGCCTGTAACAGCTGGCTGAATTTTCACGTCCGAGGTCAGTTTGCAATCAAAATTTTAATTGTGCAGCACATAAACACAACATATTTCATATGAATTAAGAAAAAATTGAACTTGAGCCTGCGATCACTTGAAAACTAGTTTACTTGTCAGCGGATAACTTCAAAAATACTTGACCTCGACGGGTCGACACCTGAGCCCGCGATACGGTCAAGTGATACTGGTCAGCGGGTACTCTGTTTTGACAGCTGTCAATTGATCAAAACATTGATGTCCAATATGTGTGCATTATCAGTTTTCCTGTGCTCCCAAACTAGTAAAAGTATGAGATTGAACGTTGTTCGCGATCTAGTAAAACAGTTAACTGGTCAGCGGACAGCTTCCAAATAAATCACGTCACCTCGATGAGTTGACACATGAGCCCGCGATATGGTCATGGGATACTGGTCAGTGGCTATCCTGTTTGGACAGCTGTCAATTGACCATATTGTTAATGTCCTATATTAAAGATGTGGACTTGCCAAGACACGCCTGAGACACCCCTCCCTTCCTTTTGATAGTCTCCCCTACCCCACCCATACAATCTGTAGACGCGTACGTACGTACGTACGTACGCTCGGTCAATCACGTGACAACCAAACGAAAAGAGGTTGACCATATTCCATGGGTATGGGGCTCTGTCCCACGCGCGCTTCGCGCGCGCGGGAGCCCCGCTATTAACATATGTTGAACATTTATTTTGGCAAACAAACAGTTAAGTTGAAAAAGGATTTTACAGAAGTCTCAAGAGTAGGTCTCCTTTCCAATTTTTACTTGCAATATTGCTCAAGTTATGACCAACATTGGCTTGACAATTTTCGTTTGGTTCTGCTTTGAAAATGGAATAATAATTGCTCAGAGACAATACAGTGTTAAGAATTGTTGAGAAAAACAGCAAAAACTTGCCAATTTATGACAAAAGAGGTACTTTAAAAATGAACCAAAACATTCAAAATGCTTTGATCACATAACTGATGATGTCATGTCCCCCTTTTGGTCATTAAAATAAATTATCAGGTAGAACATTACTTTCCTGCAAATTTTCTTTGCCGTGTGATAAAAGGTTGACTCTCCACAGCCCTCGGCCTTGTCTCCCGACTTTTCGCTCATGTTCATTACCCCTTTAAATTTTAAATTCCGGACGTCAACTGGTTATTTTGAAATGCTCCACACGGCTAAAACCTCAAATATGCTATTCATTTTTAACTTGTTGATGAAATCTTGTCATGTGACTGATGACATCATGACCTTAGCTGTGACATGCGAAGATATTTTATCGCAAATGTTATCTTGTTGTGGTCTGACAGTCTTCTACAGATAAAATTGTCAAAGTTATAAAGCCTTTTAAAAAATTGCCTCATAGGATTCTGGGAGACTTTTTTATGATAATTATAATTTACTTTTATAACTACTATCATTAAAATATATGTTACAGGTACATGTAAATGAATTAGGGCTAGGAGACAAAGGAAATTGAGAATCAACCTAGGTTAAAAAATTTTGACCTGTAATATTAACTTTTGTATAGAAGTAAGTTTTGAAATTCAAATACAATATGTAGATTTTCAGCCTTGAAATGAACTTGTTTACTTTCAGAATGTGGATATTTTCCATTGTGGGTAAGGATCAAGAACAGTTTTACTTGGTTTTCCGAAAACAAAAAGAGAATCTTACAGACAATAAGAAGGCTTTTCAGAATCCCAGAAATATCTCCTGGTGATCCTGATTATGAAACAGTCATCTTCATGGGAGTCTCCTTTGGTAAAACTGATCTTCTTGTTTATGTCTTGGTGCCACTGTATTCACATGAGTATATCCACACTATGCTTGGAAGAAATGATATAAGTTCTTTGTTACTACAGTCACATATAAGTGGTGTTTACTTTGGAAGGAAAACTGAACGAAATGGGTTCAATACTGATCCAGCTGCAGTCACAAGCTTTACTTCTATTAATGAGTCTCTTCAAGGCGACCACACCAGGCAGCCAGAAAGTAATGGAGAACTGCATCCAACTCAAATGAATGGTCTCTATAATGGCTTAGATCAGTCAGAAAGTCAGAAGTATTTTCATGATGTTGATCCAAATCAAAGAGTAGGTACAGGTGGTCTAAAGGTTGTGCGAGCCAGCGTTGGTTACATTGATGCTACAAGCTCTGCTTCAAAAGCCAGTTTTATAAGCAATACAGTTTCAGAGCCAATTAGGGTAGTGCGACCTAGAATCATGTATCTTGATCATGGCAACTTGGCAAAAGTTGATGTTGAGGATTCCCCAAGGATGAGAGACATGCTTTATGAAGAGACAGGCCACAAAAATGTTGGGCGAACCGTTGAAAGTTCCAATGTAAACACGTTGCAGGGGACACAGAATAGGAGAGCTGATGATTTTCCTGAAGGTGAAGTTGAAAGTTTAATCATGCCAGAAGTAAAGAACAACAGGAAAGGGGATTGGAAAATTCCTGATCTGCTGTCTCATAAAGCAAATGAGCAACACACAATCAGTGGAAATTATTATTCAGAAAATATGGAATGGAAAGACTATGGAAAAAGTGATAAGAATGAACACAGAACATCAGTCTTTTCAGAAGACAAAAATAATGATGATTGTTCCAAGGAGTGGCCATCTTATACTTCACCTGAAAATGTACTTCCTGGAACATCAGATGCAGCAAAGAGTTCTTTTTTGACAGAATCAGATGTTAAAAAGATGTACACTTCAACTGCTACACTTCAAGTCAATATGAGAAACAAAAACACTATCCTCAAAGATCAACCAATGATGGTAAATGATAGGATCTACAGATCTAAAGCAGAGGCTTCAATATATGAGAGTAAACCAAATGAAAGCCATGTCAGCTCTTCCAGACACTGCACAGCTGAGAGTGGTGAGTGGTACGTCAATGATTCTGCTTTGGATGACTATGAAAGGCAAATGATTCCAGAACCAGAACCTGATGAGAAACAGTGGTTCAACCAAAATGATGCATTCTATCAACATCAGATGTCTCCTGAAGAAGAATCACCAAAAACACCACTAGTTTCTCCACCATCAGAGTTTCGTGACACAACTTCCACAGGAAGTAAACTTGTGAAGGTAACAACAAAGTTCCTGGAACAACCAGTGCGGCAGGCATCATTAATATCACCTACCAATGAGAACAGAACAGACCGTGATGAACAGGTGAGGCAGATTCCCATGGAGGCAGCTACTTCAAGCAATGTAAGCAGATCAGGCACGGTTCAGTATGACCAAAACAGACTAGAACCAGTGTTTGTACATCGGCGTCCATTTTTGATGAAATCAGACAGTAAACTTGAATCAGAATATGAAGACAGTGTGTTTACTGATACAGAAAGCCATGGAGAGATCATGACAGCTGCATATTCAAGGTTTGCTCCGCCACCATATCTACCACCCCCAGAGTACAATGGAAAAGTAAACAGGTCAAAACTGTCAGATGAATCTGTTAGTTCAGGTATTTCTATTTTCTATTTCTTTAGTAAATTGTCCAATGCCTTTACAAAGTACAGGTATATTGTTATTAATTTTTTCATGCACTTCTTGTTTCATGAACATTTACATGTATGTGTCAGGGGTTTCATTAAGAAGTGCAGTCGCAAGAGAATTATAGTGTAAAGTACAGGTGAATATTTTGAAAGAGTGAAGCCCTGTCCCGGAAAGAGCTTGAAAACGAGCCTGGAAATTTTGCGTTTTAAACCCTGCTGAGATGGCTTTTCCTATTGTCTGATAGCTGCCGAACCAAAAAAAGCTGCATCTTGACCTCTACATGGTTTCAAAACATTTTTTCTTCAAATTTACAGGCATATTGTTAAATTATGATCAACTTCTAACCCTGTTACATACTCCTAGAGTTGTGACATGTGGCTGGCCAAACTTACCAAAGAGTGCAAATGAAATAATTCTCAATACATTTTAACCTCAATTCAGTAGCTAGGCCACTTCCGAGTTCAAAATGAGGCCAAGTGCTCATCCTTTCTTGTGAAAATGAGCTTTATTTGCATGAGAGTAAAATTTATTTCCATATCAAAGGCTGAGCACTTAACCTCGTTTTGATACAGAGGCCCTGGGGGAACTCGGAAATGGCCTTTATATTTAGATGTTTTCAATAGTGAAAGCACGAGACGTGAGAAACTTTTCCCGCCTCTGTCGGCAACACATGTGCTTGCGCTAGACAAAACACATTTAAACAAATACGCTCTCAGTGCAAAAACTTTGTGTGTCCAGTTTCATGGATATTGCCAAAGTTGGTTTAGTAGCAGCTCACAATTAAGAAATCATTCTTTTTATTCATTAAGATACTTAATGAATAAATGAATGGTACTTGATTCTTGTCGCTTAAACTTTCTTGTCTTAACTTTGCCACTATGATTTGTTTATTATGTACTTTATTTTGTTTCACATTTTGTTTCATAAGTAATTATTCGTTCAATAATTTTTCGCGTGCAAATAAAAAAATCGTCGAGCATACAGTCATGCTTCAGCAAACCGTCCAATATTTTTAATAATTATTTAGTTTTTTCTGGGCTTAACACGGCTAGCAAAAATAAGGTCTTTTATGTATTTTTTATTTATTTAGGAATGTAAAGCAAGTGGCGAAGCGCTAAAATTTTATGCATTTCTGGGACTAATTTCTCTTTACATAATGTGTCCACATCTGATTCATCTGAATAAAAAATAGCCATACTTCTTTCAAATTTAGCCAGAAAATTATATGTAGTAGACAGAGAATTCTCTGATCTCCATTGCTTAATGAAACCCCTGATGTGTTCATGCACAACTGCAAGTTCCACGTCCGAAAACAGGTTGACATATTATGATGACGAGACCTGATGTTCCCAGTAAATAAAAGTTGATCATTGGAAGCAATCAATCGATACTAATTATTCATTGATTGTAATTAAATGTAGTTATTACATTTGAATACGAGTGTCTATGCCATATTGAGTGAGGCAGTGACATATTTTGCATGATTACGGGGGTGCCAACAAAAACTAAAAAACTTTGCCCCACTTCAGGTGTCCACGGCTAAAAGTTAAGCAATTTAGAGAGCTTGCCTTGTGAGTATGGATTAACATAAACTAATTACACCAATCAATGAATAATTATTGATTGATTGCTTTCCAATTATTTGTTTGCCCCAAGTAACAGGGCCAATATTAAGTCACAGGCCAATTAAATGTCTATCAAAAACCACATACTTGCAAAACTATTTTGTTGCAGCAGTCACATTGTTATTTACTTGTTATACCAGATTTATGATTTTATTTGCAACATAATCATACAATGATTTCCACTCATTCACTGCACAGATTAGCAGTTGTTGCATATCTTATTTTACATTGTATTTCCAGATACCTCAGATCATATGTTTAAAAGTCATCTTCTATCTGCTGCAAGTGTCAGCTCAATCTATAGAGAGGTTAGTACACTACTTTCATTCAGTAGCTGTTTAAGTTCACCCTATTGTACAGGGGAAGATTTTCTCATTGACAAGACTGCATTTTGTTCAGACTGTCTCAAAATTAAGTCCTTGCATTTTTCTCTGAACCTCAGAAAGAGATGTTTTTGAGCCGTGATGAACTTCAGATGAGCATACGTGGAGCTGAGGACAAGGAAGTTGAAAGACAGGTCTGAGTTTTATAAGTTTGGTTTATATGGCTAAGTCTGTTTTTAATTAGTCAGTTTACAGTCCAGAACTTTCAGTATCAACCAAAATTAAAGGCAAATGCTAATTTTGCCTCTCTTAATCTGTTTATCTTGGAAAAAAAATACAAAGAGAGCTATCAAATGTAAGCCTTCAGGCCCATAGCCAGCATTTTGTACGGGCAGGTGCGATCCAAAGGGGAGATGGCCCGAACCAGGCCAGGTAGCTTAAGTCTCTAGGGGTGGGGGATAGGGCACTGGACACTGCATTTCGAGTGTTTTGAAAAATACGGGAATTTCGCAAATTTATTAAACTTTAAAAGTGATTTTTTTTCAAAGAGACTACTGTATTTTGAAATTTTGTAATGAGGAAAAAGAAAGTTGTAAATTTGTATTATTCTCCAGTTTTGCTGCATGATCTTTGCATCATCATAGTTTTTGAATAGTGTGCCAAGCACAAGCATACTTGGGTGCTTCTTAGAAACAGATCAATGTATGTTAGATAGTGGATGTGCTTAAAAGCCAGGGAAGAGAGCCTCTCTTGTGCTGGGAATTCTGCTTCTTGGCCACAGAAAACGGTATATAGTTTAAATTGTTCTCAAAGACAAAGGGCGACACAAAAAGGAACAATGTGTTCCTTCATGTCTTTCAAGCACAAGGAACCTTAACCTCACTACTTTGTTAAGGGTATGACTTTATGTTGTTACAGATGGAACTTTGTAAAGAACTCATGGTAGCTGCCAAGACAGGGGATGAGAATGAGCTGAAAAGAACTATTGAAGAAGGAGTTGATGTCAACTATCAAAATGAGGTATTGATATGGAAAGACATATTAAAAACATTAATTTATTAACAAGATCTGTAAATGATGCACTAGAAATGTGTCTCACAAACCCCCAACAAAAGTCAGTGTTACACTTAAGTTAAGCCCTGCTGGATGGGGTTAGGAACTGGTTGGGCAACCATCCACGAATATCCTGTGTTGAGGACCACTTTTTTTGTTTTATTGTCCTATTTGATTCTTAAATGGGTATTGTAATGTATATATAACAATTATTCACCAAAGTGGAGGTGGCTAGCCACTACTAGCCACCAAAACTGAGGTGAATAATTGTTTTAGTATATACTAAAACAGTGAGATAATTGAGCACAAAATGATGATTTTTAACTCATTTACTGTTGCCAATGATTACAACTTTGCAGAATTTTGGTGCGCGATGACCGAACGGCCGCGGTCGTCCCTTTTTATTAGCGACAAATAAAACTTTTGAAGGCGTTTGTTTAGCTGTTGCGGGGAAGTTTCTTCAAAAGGAGTTGTGAATTCTATTTGTATTTAAAATAATTCTGTAAAAAAGATTATTAAATTTAGTTTTAAGCTTATTTATGAACAAGTCAACTAAATAAAGTAACGCAAGTGAATAGTGCAGGTAATTCACTGATTGAGTAGCCAATCAGTGCGCGCGAAAAACACTATCCACTGTTTTAGTATGTACTAAAAAGCATTATTTTGGTCACTGGATGAAAAACAAACAAACAAGCCAAAATGTGGCAAGTTTACTTGGAAATTCATCTCATGAGGACTATTGCTGTAGTCTGTAAAATTACTTTTTTGACTTGCCAAAAAATCAATTTGTGTTCATGGAAATCCAAGAATGATACTGCAATTTTGCCAGGTAGTAACAATACTACAGTCTATGTACTTGTGTTTAGTTTAATTTTTGGGTGGAGGCTAAGATGAAAATACGTAAAATACGTAGATATTTGTGCACAATAACAAAATTGAAACATGGGCAGAAGCCAACGACCTAAAATGTTGAATGTGACTTGTAGTTTGGTCAGTCAGCCATGATGGTTGCCAGCTGGGAAGGTCACCATGGTATTATTGAGGCTTTGCTTAGTGCTGATGCAGATCCTAATCTTCAAGATGGGGTGAGTGGACTTAATATTGTAATCACAGAATAAGAACAATTTAGAACAATATTGTTGGGGCAAGAAGCTAGTCATGATTTAACCATCATGGGTGATAAATTACTCCTTTTTCACACATGAAATTACAAAATTGCTATGGCAAAATTAATACATGTATATTATCTCAGTGTGAAAGTGGTTTCCATGCTTAAAGATGCCACTATGGATGAAGATGTTATGGAGTTAAGAGAAGCTGCAGAAATGTAAATAGGCAAAATAGTACAATGAAGAACAATAAGACGGTTTCTATTTTTTTTAAAAAATAATCTTGAAAACTGGGAACGTAAGCCAAAATGCACAGTGTATTCTAAACTTTTTGCGATATGTAAATGCAATTGTGAGTGGAATAGGTAATCACCTAGGAATTTGACACAATGCACGTCAAATTTTTTCCTTACTACCTCTAATAAATTTACAAGTTTGATTATGATTATCTGATATATAATTTTATTACATTGTGTTACCTAATAGTTTGGCAAGTCAGCACTGCATGAAGCTGCATTAAGTGGTCATCATACCATTGTAAATCGTCTGATCTCCGGTGGGGCAAAGATAAATCTCACTGATGAGGTTTGTACTTGAAAAGATGTCATTATTACCTATAATCTGTTCATGTTGTGCTTCAGCAGCATGATTTAAAATAAAAATATCATTCTAATGAGGCCTTAAACTGCTGGTTTTTTTTAAAAAATAGAATTGAAGTCCAAGCTTTTGCTGATCAATGGCATCATCAGGGATGCATCATTATCCCTGATGATGCTGTTGATCAGTGCAAGCTTGGATTTCAGTTTTGTCTTTTAAAAACAGCAGTTTAAGGCCTCATAGAACAATATTTTTATTATTATTATTACCTATGTCAGTTGAATGTTTAAATACAGGGACAATCTTTGTAAACACTGCATGTGTTAATACTGGAATTACTGACTCAGGTCCACAGAATTGTGATGTCCCTGTCTTATCTGGAAAAGTTTAAAAAAGAAAAAAATAGTTTCCTTCATTCATTATTATTTTAATCAATCAGAACCCTGGGGCAGTGAACTAAGCCTTCAGCTTTCTCTAAAGGTATTGCGAACAAGACAGACTTGCTGTTGCTGAGCTGTCCAACTGATGTAAAGTTCTTTGCCACCAATAATCTTTTGTTAGTACAGTAATTTTATATGTATTACTCTTGCAAAACATGTTCATTTTGTAATATTGGATGCTGCCTTTTAGTGTGAGTCTCACTTGATTCATTATTTTATTCTTGTTTGCATTATCAGTTAGATGAACTGCATTAAAATATGACACTTCAATGAATAATAATAATTTAGATTAATGCATGTATGTTTGGTGAGAAGAAGCCATTGGTAAAGAAATAAATGGCTGATGCCAGTCAGGGCTGCAGCTGGTGCCTTATTGAAACTCGGGGGTGGGAATGGTGAAATCTGAACATGACTTGCAGTAGGGTTGCAGCTAGACCGCATCATTTAGCCTTGTTGTTAGATTTGTAAAGAAGAGTCTATTTCTCTTGATGTTGAAGAGTGAGTCTAGAGGGCAATGTTCTTTTACTGAACGGAAAAACCTAATAAATATGTGTAAATTGGACGCATGTAATTTTTCTCCTTTGCAAAGATTGTAAGCAGAATTGTTAGATGCCCACAAGTGCACATGCATCATCAGCAGCCAGCAGTAGACAAGACATGCTATCGCATGAGTAAACCTTGTTCTTATAGACTCCAGATTTTTACAAGCACAAAAACCTCTGTAGGAAATTTGTAAAATCTGGAAGCATTTTACAAGAAAACATGTCCCGTGACCCCCTATTTTTATTGCTTTGATAAATTGTTAGATTTCAAAGGAAACTTCAGAAGAAAAAATGAGAAAATGCTACAGAGGGAAATTTCCACAACGCACAACTGTCCTATTTTCCACTTTTCCAGAAGTCATCAAATTGTAAAGTCAAAATAGCGAGGTTTTACTAATCTTTTTTACACCAGGTTGAAGATAAACAAAAAGTAAATCTTTGTACAAGTTTTCATTCCCGTAGCACGTTTCATTTGGAAAATACAGCAATTTGAACTTCCGAGTTTTCACATTGCGTGAAAATAGGAATGCTGTCTCGTTGAAAAAGACTCTTCTCTTGATTTTCAGCAGTATAACCATTTCAAGTATTCGAAGATATGTTTATGCGCACATATGCTAGTTCTCGAGTGAAAAGAAAGAGCTTTTATAGAAAAAGTGTTCTCCAGATGTTTTTGTTGATTTCCGGCGGAAATATTGGGGCACCAAAACGGTACACCAATATGGCGTCTCTGTACAAAGCTCTACAGAGGTGCGTGAAACGTTTCGGCAAATAACTCAGACACTGTGGGCCACAAAGACCTGAGACTTGAACAAATTGTTTATATATTAGTCTTTTATAACATTTCATTTTCTTGGCTTCCTCCACTGGACGGTTTCCAATTAATTTTTTTGTTGCGTGACAGTGAAGACGATCTATACTGTGCATTTTGCTTTTCTAATGCCAAAATGTATGGTCCAAAAAGGAAAGTTCAGTGGCTTAATTTCTGGTCATCAGTGATGGAAGTAAAAAGTACGGCTAAATAACTATTACTTAAGGTGTGATGTCATGGTAATTGCTAATGACAAAATAAGTTAGAGTTGTTTAACGTTAGGCAAGCATTTATTGTATAATCCAACTCTACAAAAGTGCTGACATGGCTTTGACTTGCATTTTTTGCTCTGTGTTTTTAAAGTTAAAACCATAAAAATAGAGGAAGACTGGTACGAGCCACCTTAAAACACAAACAGAAATGAGACTGAGAGAGGCTCCCGAAATGGCGTCTGAGATTTTGTGTTAAATTTTCCTTCTGAGACTGCGCACGATTTTCGAGGAAGCATTTACAAGTTCTACCCTGCAGACTTATATCTGTTACTACTTACTGTGTATAAAGATGTTTATAACAGAGCTTATCATACCACTTTGTGGTGTAGTTTATATACATCACCATACCTTTGTGGAGATTTGGTGGACAAGTGGTTAAATGTAGAGTAGCTTTTGGGTTCATTATCTCACCATAAATTATATATATATATATATATATCCCTTTTTTTCTCTTTTACCAGTGAAATTAACTGTGGCAGGTCTGTTATTATTAAGTGGTGAGAAATCATGTGATAATATCTTATGATCATCATATGATCTGAAGTACCCTATTGATTATTTTGGTGATACATCTTTGTTTTTGACGTATCAATCAATAGTGATATTTTTTCAACTGTGTGTTTCCAAAACTAATGAATTGTAACGTAAAGCCTTCATATGACTTACACATGTGTTATTTTCATGACAAACTGGTTGCTTTGCTAGGGGGAATGAAACACATTTGATGAAGTGAATTTACCACTGCAAAAAGATTGAAAAGCCCTCTTCTGTCAGAGCTCCTGTTTGTACACTATAACTAATCAATCAAGTTGTGTTTACAATCATTGAATTTGTTTCATGAATTTTGATCTCTTCCAGGAACACAGAACACCACTTCACTATGCAGCTATGAGAGGAAAGAGAAAAATAGTTGAAGTACTGGTTTTGTTTGGTGCAGATGTAACACTTCTTACAAAGGTAAAACTTGTCAGGACAAAAGGGCAATGTTTGATAGCCTCAGAACGAACACCGTTAGGATTCACATGTAGCCTTACAGTCCTGCATGTATTTGATGCACTTATGAAGGCTTATTCGACCACCCCTGGAGCCTGCAAGTATCTCATTTGGTTTCACGATAGCTAGCTTATACCTCCCCTCATGCACATCTCTCCTTTACAGGTAGTTCCGTTAGTCCCAATATACGAACACCTCCATTACAGCCAATTCTCTTGGTACCAGTATACAGACGCCTCTCCACTGAGGCCTGTTCTTCTGGTGCAAATAATTATATAGACACCTCTCCATTACGGCCAGTTCTCCTGTTGCCAATATACAGACACCTCTCCATTGTGGGCTGTTCTTCTGTTAGCGATATACAGACACCTCTCCATTGTGGGCTGTTCTTCTGTTAGCGATATACAGACACCTCTCCATTGTGGGCTGTTCTTCTGTTAGCGATATACAGACACCTCTCCATTATGGGCTGTTCTTCTGTTAGCGATATACAGACACCTCTCCATTGTGGGCTGTTCTTCTGTTAGCGATATACAGACACCTCTCCCATTGTGGGCTGTTCTTCTGTTAGCGGTATATAAACACCTCTCCATTGTGGGCTGTTCTTCTGTTAGCGATATATAGACACCTCTCCATTGTGGGCTGTTCCTCTGTTAGCGATATACAGACACCTCTCCATTGTGGGCTGTTCTCCTAGTCCCAAATATACTGACACCTCTCCAATACGCCCAATTCTTCTGGTGCCGATGTAAAGGCACCTCTCCGTCACTCACTATTCTGTTTGTCCCAAAACACAAACACCTCTCCATTACTGCCGGTTCTCCTGGTGCCGATATACAGACACCTGTACGTTATGGCCTTTTCTCTTAGTCCCAACACACAGACACGTTATAGCTAGTTCTCTTGGTACCAATATGGAGACACTTGTCCATTAAGACCTGTTCTCCTGGAGCCGATATACAGACATCTATCCATTACATCCAGGGCCCTGTTCCTGAAGGTATTATTAGCGCTAATCCAGGATTTAAATTTTGTTCCGTTTTTGTATTTTACCTTCCTTAGTATTACTTAGGATAACACTTTGTGTTATCATGACCGTATCTTTGAAGGCTCAGCAGTATTTTGTAAGCTCGAGTTACTTGTTCTTAGACAAGAAAACCTTGATTAAAATTTATCGTAATCCTGGGTTAAATTTAACCACCTTTCGAGGAACCGGGCCCAGTTCCTTTAGTCTCAATAATTATACCGACTTTCTCCATTAAGGCCTGTTCTCCTGGGGGTGGGAGATATACCGGCGTCGGCTATCCAGTACGGCTAGAAATGGATATTCTCAGACACCTTTGCAGTCAGTTAGTTCGATCACTTTTGCTGCTTGTATGAAGGGAGAATAACTTTACCAGCCATGTTTCTTGATCTACTCTCTATACGAAATGACGTTATGTCCTCAAAAGTTTCAAAGAAAGAGAAATCAAGAAACACAACACTCATTGATGAGATTAACCGGTGAAACTTAACAACCTTACCTAGGTTCAAGTGTTTTTTTTTTTTTGTTATATGGTTAAACGTTTCGGCACTCTTATTATTTTGTGTTATTATATAGACACCGATGAAATACCAGGATTTATCCAGTGACGAAAATTTGGTATCCAGTGAAGATACAATTTTTATCCTTCACATTTGAAGATATCACGGTTGTCATGGCTACTTCAGTCTCAGCCAGTAGGAAAAGAGCATCACAGCATCTCGCCATCGGTGTCTATATAGTAAACAGAATATTGCATGCCCGCCTGTGGATACGAATTTTATCTTCTCGTGTTCAACTCGATATGTCACGAGTGAGCGCAATATCGAGTTGAACACGAGGAGATAAAATTCGTATCCACAAGCCGGCATGTAATATCCTCTGTTTATTAAGTAGCAATTCCATCGTTGTAACAACTAGGGGCGGTTTTAATTTGTTCGAAGCCTTTTACCGCAGGGGAAATCCAGGGTTAGTTAACTTTACTACAAGCAGAACAGATAAGTTTTTAGGTAGTAACTAAATCAATCTAGAATTGCGCTAATCATCTCTCGGGAAACCAACGCCATTGTTCATGTTGTTCACTTACGTTTCCCCATCATATTAACACCCGTCTTAAGAGTGTCATTGTTTTTTTTCTTTTTGTTGTTGTTCAGTATAATGAATCTGCAATTGAACTGGCCTACTCTTACCGCCATGATGATATTGTAGACTATTTGATGGCCTCATCTCGTGATAAGGTTAGTACCATTTGAGTATTTCCTATACAAGGACAGTAACACCTTATTTTCTACAGTGATTTTTTGACACAACACAACAACGGCAACAATTTTACCCACAGAATCACATTAGGGTTTTACCGTGTGGCTTGACTCCGTAAATAGTTTTTTTTTAATTTCAGTGTATTCGCGGTTACTTTCATTGTATTTCCAGCTTGCTAATGAACTACGTACTTACTATAGAAAACTCGCAGAGAGATGGAGAGTCAAATAAGAAGACAGAAGTTAAAACATCTAAGCTCTGCAACTTCTCTACCAAATCTTTCAAAAGTAAGTTCTGTTCAAAGTAAGTTTGTTTGTCGGCGCCTGCCATTACCTAGCGGTCACGTAAATATTGATATCCTTTTCCTGTTGCGTTACTCTAGAGTTTACATGCATGCTCTGATCTTTTTCCGTCGCGCGCGTCTCTCCCGAGCCTACACGCACACTCACTTTCTTTTCCATCTCCATATTAATACTTGGCAAAGGTTTCCCATCGCGCCCAGGTAAATAAAAAATATCAAATAAAAAGAATCAATGTAATTAAATAAATAAAATCTGTTCCCGAACAGTGCATTAAAAATGTCCAAAGTTTCTGTCTTCCTAATATCTAACGGTTGAGGGTTCCAATCTTTGATCGCTCTCTGGAAGAAACTGTTCGCGTTGATGTTGCCCTTGGAACTTGGATTTATAAAAGATGCTTAAAACCTTTATCGCGTTTTGCTTGATCTTATGTGCAAGTTGGTCTCCCATTTCTGTCACCTTTTCCTCGACCCTACACCCACACTGGTCTTCTTTTTCCGTCGCGTTTTGCCCGAGATCTTTCAAACGTAAGTACCTGTTCTGTTCAAAGTGTTTGGTGGCGCTCTCGTACACATCGATTTCTTTTCCTGTTGCCATTCTCCCTGAACCCTCACGCACAGTTGTATCCTTTCTTTCGCGTTTCCCGCGAGCCTAAGCGTACACTGGTAATGTATCCTTTTTTCTGAAGCTTTTCCCCCAACTTACGCGCCTTTTCCTTTACGTTTTGTTTTTTCTTTCCGTTTTCCGTTTTCCGCGCTCACCGCGCAGACATTGGGTCCCTTTTCCAAGTGGCTGTACGCTGTTTCAGATCAACTTGAGATTCTGTGTTATCCTTTGTCGTCTATTTAGGTGTCGTCAATGAAAGAACTTTCCCGTTCCAGAAGCCGACCAGATCTGCGCAAAAAGAAGTCTGTATGCCCAATTCAGTGAAGAGGGATAGTGGTGTGCAGAGGTAGATAGATGTACTAAGAGATTGGCTGGTACCTTCCGATAGTGTTAAGCAATTAAGAAAAACAGGAATCATTATTGAGCAAACCGGGTTTAATATTGGCTGAAAAGTACTTTTTTAAAGCTGTACACGCCCACGCGAGTAAATGCTGTTTTCATTGAGACAAATTCCTGTTTGTTCTTGTCCCATTTGACTCAGTTTGGAGAGGATAAACGATGGTTCTACAGCAGATGTGTGGAGTGGTTGTTTTTGTCCTCCCCTGCGAAAAATTGATCTCGTTACGTTAAATGTAGCTTTCTTTAAACTGTGAAGATATGATGAAGTTGACTGAGATACACGAGGATGTTGTATGTGCAGGGTTGGGTGGAAAAGATTAGGGATTTTCTGCAGTGGTTTTACTTCTTTATGTATTCGTTTGGTTGGTGTTGGTGCCATCGAAACGAAAGGTTTTAAGCTCTCTTTATTGCTTAAACGAATGAAAAAAACAGCTTAAAACTTATGAAAGTAAGGAATTTAACTGTCAATGTCGTACTCATTGTCGGACACCTTGTTAATTGCTTTTCTAAAAGTAGATAACTAGCTAGGCATTTCTTAAAATTGCTATTTCTATACATGAAGGCTGAAAAGATTAATTATAGGCTTTCAATTAGTGCCATTGAAATGTAGATTTTTTGCGAAGCTCTTCTAAGGAATATTGTCTAAGTTTAAGATTTAGATTTTGGCACCCAAGATGTAAATGTTTACAAATCGTGTGTACGGATTAGTCTCGTTATGTTTAATAAAAAGTATTAATGACACCTGGCCTTCTCATAGTTTTTTTATTGAGCATGAAAAAGCCTTGAGTGCTTTACCAATTTTTGGTAAATCGCTTTTTTTCGAAAACAAGTACAACATTGGAAAGTTCGATACTGCAGTAGCGACAGAGTTAATTAACTAGCGTAACTGAAATATGCGGAATCCTTTGTTGTATAAAAGTATCCGCTAACGTTTTTTTTTTTAAATCGTTTCTAACAACAACGTCAAATGATCAATTCAGGGTTTTGTGGAGCTGATTGTGAATCCACGACAGTTTCCTTCTCACAATGAAAGTGAGTTCCCTGACTTCGAGAATGCAGATACACATAACAAATAGAACAAAAAATAGGAATAATTGTCAAAGCAATTATAAAACCGATTTTTGTGTTTGTATGCATTGGAATTTTCCTTGGCGTTGCTGTTGCTTTTGTTCAAGGTGTCCAGTGCGGCTAATAGTTGTAATCCGTGCCGGACATATTAACATCTCACTGATCTGCGTATAGCTGGAGTTTCTCCCTAACAGCTCGCGCTTCTATCGACTACTCTATCGACAATTATTTGTTTCACATTGTATCTTCTTACGTCCTTGTTGTGCTGTGTTACACAGGGGTGGTAACACATCGCTTAATTAAAGACTACTGCTTCGAGATCAATTTTCAAAGGTCTTTGCTTTAAAGAAATTTCTGTTTACTTATTTGAGGGCCGAAGCGGGAGGCTGGTTGGTTGGGGCGGTTTATCATCTCGGAAAACGATGGGTACGTTTCTTTGTGAGAATTTAATACTAGATCTTTGATGTCAGTATCTTTGGATTCGTTAACAGTTGGTTAACGACGAAGAATAAAAAAAATCCGGTAATGGACTCTTTAAGGTGACGCCATTATTGGCGGACGCCATCTTTTAACAGTTAAACTGCTGTCAGATTCGTAACCAAATAAACGAATGCATCATGAACCCTTAAAATGAGGATTTAGTTTAATCCCATAAATGTCTTCGGAGTTTGGAGTCACTCAAAATCCATTTTTGGATTTTATTAAAGAAAAGTAACTCTCGTTTTTGCTTTTAATAATCCGCATTTATATTTTCCCAGAGAAACGCAGCCTAGATGTGCTGCAAGAGACCGAGCTGTAAAGATAACTGGTTTCTTATGGAACAAATAGACCAGAATGCTCGATGCCTTGAGAAAAAACAAAGCAAAATCTGAATACAAATGTTGATTTGTCATTTGTCGCCTCGGCGTTTCGATGTAGACTAGATTTTGTTGTGGTAAGAACTGTTTGACTGGTAAATGGAACGATAAATAGCAATAAACTGGTCACTCCGCAAACACGCTACTTAACTCGAGTGAGCTTTGACTGAGGAACCATGTATTTTCTAAAGTGTTGCTGCTTTAGTAGTTCATATAAAGGTGAAGAAACCTGTCTTTGTATGAACTCTATGCCGAACACTTGAATCAATAGAACTGAATTTATTTGAACAACTATTTCAGCTGTCTCTTTCAAGCCAGTGTTTTAAACATCATGCTCTTTGTAGTCATTGTCAATATTTAATTTTGAGGATTGGTGTAACATCAGGCCACTCCCTTTGTATTACGGACGGAACATTGCTATTCTGAAGAAACATAGATTACATATGTATTTTCCGTTCAATGTAACCTTAACCTCAATTCAGTTTTGAAATCAATCGGATTCTTCATAAAATCGGCAAAAAATAGTTGTTTAATTGTTAACGTTGCTTAATGGTTCAGCAACGTAAAACCTTTCGTTCTTTCTGGCAGAACCCAAGTTCAAAATAACAACACCCAAATGCAACCGACGCCCTAAAGGAAGCCTGTGCGATAAACTAGTTCAGTTGTTTTAAAATTATGAATCTAGCATGGTTTTAAAAATCGTACGATGACGAACAATAACAAAGGCCCCAATGTTCTTGGACAGCGGTTTACTGCCTGCATATTTTTCTTCCATTGCTGCAGATTTCATCCATTACAATACAGCAGCGTCGCCATGTAGCAAACCTTGTATTTACCAACAAGTTTGAAACTTATGCTGCGAAAATATTGTCGCACCTGGATTCGATATTTATCGCTAAAAAAGGTGAATTTCTTTTGCTTTCATCAGTTGTCAAACATCGCTGGATGAGATGTCTTGTTTAACAAACATTTCGCCAACTGTACCAATACTAGCTAACCTGTTCTTTTGGCATTCTATTGTTGCTGCCTTTCCATCGGACAAAGATTAATTTTATATACCGTCTTTTTTGCCAAAACAATAAGGTTAAGAGTTGTCATTATAGCTTTGTATATAGCCTTGTTTCAGTTTTATTTCTTTTCTTTTAATTTTTTTTCTCATCTAAATTGAAATCCCACCATCATTAAATCTGATGACGTACGTACGTATTCTGTACGGGGCAGTCATATACTAAAAGTTCATGAATCAAAACCTGTAACCTTGCAAAAGCACCTTAGCAATATCAGCTGTGTTACCGTATTACGATCAGTCTTGATGTCGCTTATGCGTCTCCACCTCTTTTTGACTGCTGGAAAAGTGAGAGTCTGTACGTGCTCAGATCCCTGTGACCTGGCCCCCCTAAGCTGATTACACTTAATTTAAAGTCAAGGAAAATTGCGTCTAAATTCAGGTTTTGTTTTCTATGAAATTAAGAGAAAGAGATTATGAGTTCTTGCTAAGATTATCCCATATTCATCAACGAGGAACTGAAATCTCTGATAGCATGTTATTCTAAGCCCGCCGCCCAGTAGCGTTATGTCATGTCGCATTTTAACTACCGTAATTTTATATGGAGACAAAGAGTATCAGTTTGTGGTCAGTCATTTTGTTTTGTCTTGTTTTGTATTAATCGAACAGGAATTGAACTGATCTGCTGTTTTAGTCCTTTTTGGTAAGGTATTATCAGTCATAACAATTTTGGTTGTTGGGAAGTACGACCGTATCTCGGCAGTTCTCTCTAATTTTCAGTGGTTGCCAGTGTTTTATCGTATCTATTTTAAAATTTTAGTGAGTACTTTTAAGGCCATTCATGGTATGTCACCTAGCTACATCAACGATTTAGTTAGCATTAGGACCTGTTCTTCATATTCATTAAGATCGCATCACTCTATTGTTTTAGAACATCCTAAGGGTCGTATGTTGGCGACTTTTAGCGCTAGATCGTTTTCCGTTAGCGCTGCGGCCCCTACATTGCGGAACAGCATTTCCCCGCATATCCGTGATATTGGATCACTGTGCGCTTTTAAAAAACAAGTCAAAACAAATCTTTTTAGATTAGCTTTTACGTAGTTTTAACTTGATTTTATTTTCATTTTCATTTTATTTATGCATTTTTATCACCATTTTTACTTTTTATCGGTTTTATCTATCATAGATTCATTTTGTAAACTTTAATTAGTATGACTGTAAAGCGCTTTTGATCATTATTTTATCTGTTAAAAGGCGCTATAGTAAATTTATAAATTATTATTATTATTAATATTAATATTTGTCTTGTGTCTTATGGCCGCGGAATTGGATCGAAATAGGCCTTTCATTAAAACGGTAAACATGTTCAATAATGCAAGTTCTTACATAACTTTTAATTGCACCCAAAGAGGTTCTGAGTGTAGGTAAAAACAAAGAACAATTCAGGATGTTAGAGTATATTTATAGAAAAGCATTCTACCTTCAGTCATTATTGGAAGATTTAAGATCCATGCATTTTTAATAAGAAATAATAGTTATAATATTTAATCTAGAGCAATCAATTGAAGAGATATAAAAGCAATTTTAACTTTTATTTGACGCTTAATGCACATTTTGGTTCTAAAGTATAGATGGCAACGGGCCCATGGCCAGGTAATGACCCGAAATACATAGAGTTACCTATTAAATATCCTGTAAAATTCAGTGATCGTATTTACATGTAACTGCCGCAGACATTTGGCTCTATGATAAAGCGTTTTTCATTTTACCGGGTCAGTCGAGGTCATGCGTTTTCGGAGCTCATGAGCCACATATCAGTTGTATTCCCCATGTCCTACATCAAACTGTATCCTTATTTTCACTCGATAATGTGCAACAGTTTTTAAAATTATTATTATTATTATTATTAATTTTTGTTTTAATTGTTATTTCTTTACTTTTTTTACTGTGGTACTACGTATGCTGCATAAGGTGGCTTAAGTATGTGAACAAAATATCTCAGTACAGTCGAACCTCCCTCCACTAACGCCCACCTCTCAACAACGCTCACTTTATTTTGAACTGTTGGACAGATCATATGTTCAGCATCCGGGCAAAGGCGGCAACATTGTCTCTCTGAAAAATTGTCAAATCCAGTTTGTTTGAGACGGATATTTACTGCATGCATTCTGGGAGCTTTGGTCATTTGCGACTAAAAATGTAGGCTTCAAATGCAGATTCTTTTCTTATTAACAATGTCGATTAAAGAAAATATATCTAAGTAACAAAGCTCGAAGTAACAGTCGACACACGTTTACAAAAGAAAAAAAAATCCCCCTGGGCCCACCCCTTAATCCACCCTTGGACTCGGGTCTATCAGCTATACAATTTCCACCCTATATATCATGTAAAAGGCGACAGGGCACTAGGCAATTCCATCCTAAGAGATTCATTCAAGTTAGTGCCAAAGCAAACAAATACCAACACAGTTTGCTTTGCTGCTTTGTCTAGAACAAATCTAGGAGTTTCCGTGGAAATGTAAAGGTGAATAGAAATTTCCAGCTATTCATGTTTAAGTTCTTGCAACTGTACGTAGTCAACGGCCACCTTTGGGACAAGACAAAGTGGCCGTTATGGAGAGGTGGCAGTTATGGGAGGAAGGGGTGTAATATGGCTTACTGTATCCCATAATGGCAATACAATCATAAATAATATATAGAGATAAACTACACAAAGAGCTTGAATTATGTTTTAAATCTCTAACTCTAACTTTAACTCTAATCGTTTAATCTGCAAAGGGTATATCAGTCTCATCACGGTAGATGAGCAAATGTGCATGTGCTTATGTCAAAATATAACTGATTATGGTGCCAGTATTAAGTAAAAAATAAAGTTCCTAGGTCAGCGTTTTTAAAGATGGCAAATGACGGCCATTTTGAAAGCCTCCACTGAGTGCTTTTCAAAGACACTATTTTGTGAAGAGTTCCAGTCTCCGATTGTACGTGCAATAAAACAGACATTTTCTGTACCGGTTCGGTTATGAAGAACATGATCAAACTTAATCAAATGACCTCGTTTTGTGTTTTTTGCATTATTTTATCAATATATTGTATCTTATTTAAAATTAAAGATAGTCTCGGGTAACAAATTTCTCTTTTTAAGTTTGTAGTTATCTCTACATGTATTGCACTTCTAGGTTAATATTGCATTCAATTGTCTATTCGTTTACTGTAACTTATGAAGAGTTAAGAGTGATTTTTCACCTATCCTTATTAAGTTCGGCTCCTATATTCTTTGTCAAGTCAGTGTAAGTCTTTGTTGTTGATTTTAATCTTTGTTTGTAAAGATAATTTTGAAAATAAGGCCAACAATTAGGAAAATGATACGCCGTTAAGGGCCTTATGGGTGTACTGAGGTCAGCTGATTTTAACTGGAAATCCAAGACGATAACGGTGAGGGATCAAACACGGACCCCTAGTGGGACTAAGTAAGTGAAGCAAAGGACTTGGGCAGCTGGTTTGGCTTTTTTTTGTTAGCTTGCGATTATCACGACAATGTATTTTGTCGAATCAAACAAGACGGGCGAGGAGTATATAACGGCGGATCGAAGGAATGAGAGGATGGGCAGCTCAGACTAGGGGTCAATAAATATCAGACCCGCTTCTATGAAAAAAACCCACGGCATTTGAACAAGGCCAGCTAATCGCTGGCGTGTTTATTTTGTTAATTGAAGGCAGTACAAAATTGTGACGAGTTTCTCTTTACATTTGTAAACCGGGAGGAGTTTCTTATACTCTATTGGATCTAGTCAAATTTGACCATACATCGCCAACAAAGTTTTGCATTACTGCCATATAGTCAACCCTGATGTATTCTGGGAATGATCTTTTGGTTTACGAAGTATAATTGTCATCTTAGTTATTTTTGATGTTGTGATGTTCTTACTATGTCCATGCAGTTACTGAGAGAGAAAATAAACCTTAAATATTTGAGGTTAATCTTCGTACTCTTTGGTTTACTGTATAGTTTTTTCCTGTCTTTTATTTTTCGCTGAGTTTTACTGTAAGGTGGATTGGTTTGACATTCTTTTACTTCTCACTTAGAACGTGACCACGAAACTCAAACTTTAAACTCAAATTAGTATGTTCTGCTTTAAAGCTCTTGATTAAATGCTTCATGTTTTTACCACAGACAGAAGCTACAGTGAGAATTTTTAACATTTCAATATCTGCAAGCTAAACACATGGCTAAGCCGTACCGTTGACCGGCCGGCAGGGCACGGAAACTGTAAGTGCAATAGCTGGATCCTTTCGATGTTACTTTGAAATGCAATGTAAAGTGGATAGGTGTAAGCTGGGTCGATTATTTTAGCATACGTGTTAATGAAAGCTGTCAGTTTTTCATACTTTCGATAAGAGCATTTATTGTGTGCCCATAATGTTTCTAATGAATCCATTGTTGTACATGTTAACTGGAAAGATTGTGTATGGTCAGCTGCATGGAAACGTTTTAACGACTATTACTTCCCTATTGTTCTTCATGAAGCTCTTTATTGTGTATTTTATCTCGCAACGCCCCACTGTTACAATTTGAAATGCAGTAAAAATACCGAATTCCCTGACTGTTATCCTGTCCTGATTATTTATCGCATTTATTTTGTAAGGCTTGAAGTATTCCTTGGTGTCCACCACATTATAGAGTTTGCGCTAATTTTGTATTAGGCTACTCTCTTACTTTCGTTAAAGGAAGGCTAAAAAAAAGAGCAGGTTTTGTGTTAAAATCTAATTACGTTCTGGGTGTTGATAGGAATACGTATTGACACAACCAGGGAGGGATATTACACATATTAAGGTAGGGTGCACGCTGCTTTACACAATGTCAACACGACTACAAAAGTTAATTAACGCTGCTTTAATGACCACACAAAACAAGACCAACATTCTTTTTTGTGTGTTATTTGTCCCTGGGCAAAATTAATTAAAGTTTGAAGCGGTTACATCCATCAAAAAAGAATTCTTTTCCATGTATTAAGTTGAATTTATTTGTTTTTCACCTTGCGATCTCGACACTCTGTCTGATTTTAATTTCGTTTTTGCATCGGTTTAAATGAAGAAGGGACTATTTTGCATTCCATTTCAAGGCACGAAAATGAAATTACTCTTTTAAGAAGGGGAAGTTGTCATTAATGCCAAAAGAACATTACAATCGAGAGTGCTCTCTGGTAAAGAACTGTGCTTTTATTCAAAGATTTTTCTTATAACTAATAGTATCTACAATCGTTTATTGGTGAGCAATTTTAGTTTGCTTCTTTTCGTTTTCAAATTTCAGTAATATATTCTAAGTACAATACTAAATTTGTTTAACTTAAAAATCAGAATAAATGTCAGTGAATTTTTTTTTATTTCAAATATAACTTCAATTTTGCTCTCATGTACAATCTTTTCTGTTTCTAAGAGACAATTTTTGATCACAAATATACTTTTAATTTGTTTTCTTACGTATGTTTCCTTGCTAAACTAAAAGTTTTCCTTGGTGAATTTCCTTTCGAGTCATATTAATATAATGTCACTGCTCCTCATGGACAAATTATTTGACAATTTTGGATTTAACAATGGCGTGTCTGCAGCCTGCTCAAAAGCAACATGATTCAAAACAACATTTTGACTAAGCTAACAAGACATCCTGGAAGTCGATTCTTCTTTATGTAAGATACTATGATGTGTTCCTTGCTTTATTGTTCAACTTTAGACTTCGTCAAGTCTGGTTCTAAAAAAGACCTTGTCTCCTCATCCGGGGGCCTTTTGATTGTGTCATTTTCTGAGGCTTAATCGCTTATAAAGATTTCGCTCGACTCTCATTAACATACCTGAAAGTAGACAAAAATATGCATGTAAGAAAATAATAACAACATCAATCGACACCAGATATTTACTCGCTGAAAGGAACTATTAAGAGTAAAAATCAAGTAAAACAAAATTGGAATACTCTATGGTTTTATGTTTCAGTTCCTTTGCCGTCTAGTCATCGGTTAATTGAAAACTTAAAACTTCAGAAACACAAAATTACGTACTTTTCTTGTTATTAGTTTTTGAGAAATTTAACCGTGCTAAAAAGCTGTAAATATCGTGCACTCGGCTTAACACTTTTCCACGATATTTTTCACAAGATAGCACTGATTGTGCGTTGAGACGAAAGGATCATTTCTGTTAAAAGCTTGAAAACCACAAAACCCAATTTTATCTAATTCACCAAATTCGAAATTAAAACATCGATTTCAAAGACGTCCGCGTAATAAACAGGAAATAATTACTCTTTGCTCATTTTTCAAAGAGAATTTTAATTTAATTTCGCGTTGAAAACAAGGTGTTCGAACCGAAAGAAAAAGAAATTACAAGGTCCCTGCAGTAAATTAATTTCTGCGGCTTCATCGCGTTCTCATAGCTGATTAGCGGAGGAAAGGAAAAAAGACTTCATTTACTAATTACGGTGTTCCCTTAAGCTGCCCGGCTAATTTACTTTGTTTCGTATGACTATACTCAATTACCCTATAGTGTGTTTTAGTTTTGTAATCTGCTCGAACTCTTTCTTTTTTGTTCCGTTTCGAATCATTAGTTTTGGTTTTTGCAATTAAGAAGAAAAACACTTCTCATACTCTTGGCCTATCTCGCAAAAATGATGTCATATCTTGACTAAAATGATGAACCAATACTCTTTCGGTTCATGTCGGGGATGAGACTGACCGGGCGGGAGCTTCATTTTCTTTACCAAAGATCAAGGCGAAGATTTGAATGTTAAAATATCAAATATTATTGACAGTTAAGTGAACTGGGGCAAATTAAAGTTGATGGACTTAGGATTTTTTTCAATCGAAATTTCGTCTAAAAGCAGCGCCTTGGAAAATGGCCTTTAATTATTTCCTGTGTTACTAAAGTGCAGGAAAGTTTTCTAAGTGCATCGGCATAGAATTACTTAAACCACATTTGGGAATGGAAATGGTATTGATGAAGATTCACTTGTAATTCCGGCCATTGTAGTCGATGTTTTAACAGTTGCACTAATCAACGCTTTGCCTTGAATATTTTGCCATATCTTATCGACAAGGCAGCAGAACCAATTTAAAGTCTTAATTAATTCGTATTAAAAACTGCTTCCCATTGTCTTATCTGTGTGCCTTGGGGTGAGATAGAGATCGTAATCTAACAAATTTTTTTATGGATGCAAATTGCTTCACCAAAGCGATGGGCAAATTGTTTAAGAAACAATATCTTTTTCCAGTTGAGAAATGCTTTGAGAAAATGGAACTCGAACACAAGTGTAAGTGCCTACTATTTATATTGCTCGAATATCCGTGTAATCTGACATGATTATGCGGTAAAAAGCAATATGGCAATACGTCGCAAAATTAAAAACGTGTTTCCTTTTCACCAAAATAGTCAAATGAAATGTCAAAATTGATGACTTAATATTAGCTTAAGCAAAAAGCTCGGAGATATTAAAACCAAATAAGTATTATCCAAGGGGATAAAATTTATTGAAGATGTATTTTGACAGACGTTTTGGGGTTGAAAGGGCTTTTTGCTTACCGTTTGTTTTGTGGCGTGAAGTTGTTGTTTTAGTAGTCGTGGGTCATCATTCTCACAGAAAAGCCTCCCATTTACGACGTGAAATCGGTCTCCAGCGACAAGCTGATTGTGGCAAGTTGTGCAGTTAAAGCAGTTGATATGATAAACTTTACCCAGAACTTTCATTACAAACTCCGTGGCGGGAATTAACTTGGCACATACTGCGCATGCTCCACTAGATCCATATAACCTAAAAAGCAATAAGCGCTTGAAAATGAGATCCCAGCCAGAAGCAGCTCGGCAGTCGGATCTGATAACGCAGGATTTAATATGTTCTAAGTAATTAGAGATAAAAGCGTATAAAGCCAATATTTGGAATAGCGATAAATTGTTCTTCACGGGCCATTCAATTTGACGTTGATAATGCGGTGGATATGTTAACCTGCCTGGAATGGCATATTAAAAATCCTGTTTATTAAAATTAAAAAAGCACGTCTAGTAGATAGGAAAAGCTTTTGTGTACTAATTTCGGAAGGACTGCGAAATTTTGCCAAACAACTGTAAATTACATAGACAAATGAAGTAAATCGCCTTTGGAAGGTGAAATATTAACACGCTAATGAGTGTTGAGGTTACCGTGAGCCACTAATACCAGGCATTCTCTGAAGCTTTTATAATCTATGTTATTAATTGCACTTTCATAATGGAAGAAATATTACGTTGACTAAATGTATGCAAAAAGCTGACCTCGTACACCCGGGTGAAATAAAGGAGCAAAAAAATATTAATATAATGGAAGATAAAAGCCACTTAAGAAAGTATTTACAACACGAGGCCATGCCACTCGTTAAAAAAGGAGAAATGTTGGCGGGAGCAGGAAAACATGTATTACTTGCGATAAAACTCAGCACATACACAAGTGAGTCGCCACAAATTTTAAAAGAAGAAAATAGCTCATTACAAGATGAGATGTCACACACGAAATAAAAATACTCCGCAAAACAAACTTTACCCAGGATATTGAAATAATATTAAACAACAAATCGAACGGACACACAAAAACGAAATAACAGAATAAACCAGGACTTACTTAACGTAGTCGGTCTTGCACAAGATCATTCCACCTTTGGCGTAACACGATGATCCTACTTCCCCCAATCTTACATTACAACAAGAACATTTCAAGCAGTTAACGTGCCAGTACTGGTCCAAAGCCAGAAGAAGAAATCGATCCAAAATTTTTTCTCCGCATCCTCCACAACTTCGTATTCCTCCTTGAAGACATCGACCTACAGCGAGAAATGAGAGCGACAGTTAAGACTAAAATTTCTCGGTTGGTTGTCCTTGTTTCCTTTTGAACAGCGTTTTGACTGAACACGTCGGAGTAGGAAACATAAAATGGTTTACATCGAAGGTTAGACCACGCGCGCTGTCGACCAACACTACAAAGCTCGCGGATTCAACCGAGCATAAAACGTGCGAACTCACTGTTCACGTTAGTCTTGTCCATTTTATTAACCGGTGATGGCGGCGGAAGTTTCTGCGCTGCTGTTGTTTCTAGTCGTGTGGTTGCGTTGTCAGCCTTTGTGACACTGAGTAGGAATTAGCCAGTGGCCGTTGTTTGTTAAAACAACTCGGGTAACAGTGTACGTTATTCAAAACATTCATCATATGACAGCGAATTAAGCCTAATCAATTCGACATCAAATCAGCTTCAAACCCTAAATGACCAAGACACAATTAGTTGTCATCAACTAAGAGATGTTGCCATTACGTTCACAGTTTCCCAGTCTCTGATTGGTTAATGGCTTTAATAAGGCAGTAGTTAAGTCATCTCTACACCCCGTGTATCACTTGCAGTAATTACCAACACGATACGCTGTGGTTTTCGAAGTTTAATTAAGTCACGTGATATGTCATCGTACCTGGGGTTTTTTTCGGGGGGGGGGAGCACTTGTTATTCGAAAAGTCGCTAATCTTTATCTTGATGGTTTCTTTCCCTGGAAGGCATCCCGCCAGTCAAGTTTGAGACGAAAGAGAGTAATTCTCGGAAAATCGATGCGGCTGAGTTCGGATGTCATAAAAGCAACACTTAAATTGATTTTTCTATTCTTCTCCTGGGAAGCAATTTATTTAAGTCCCGAATCACTTGAAAGGATCATTTGTTAAGAATACAATTGCGAGTAAACGGAATGCAATTAACAAGCTGACAACCAAGAACCCGCCGAACATCTGTCTAAAGGGAAATTAAACAAACTCAGCTCAACCAATCATGGGCTTATACGCAGCACTGCTAAGGATGATGGGGATGTCAACCAATATAGATCAATATACCCCGGAGGAGGAGGAGGAATCATGGTGTTATTCATTACCGCTAATATGATGCCTTGGCTAATTATAAAAGCAATTGAACTGTTTGCTCGTCTTGAACAAGCCATTATCTTTTTGCGAGGTAAATTAACTGGATGATCGCACGCATGCGTCCAATGAGAACTTAAAAATGATTCGGTAATTGGATTTCATAGTTTGAATCTTGCCTGAGAAACTAAGATCACAAGGTCCAAAAGATCGATTTTTACACATTTGGAACCGCACCAGGCAATGACCACATGTTCCTGTGGAAGATAAGATAAATAGCCAGTTGGCATGTCACGGCATATTGCAATGAAACCCACTCAGTAGGAGAGAGATTCGAGAATACGTGTCTTCACAAAAAGCCGAAAACATCGGGGTTTCGTGTAAAAGGTTATTAATTTCTTTGTCCGCGTTGGTAGACACAGCCAGACGTGTTTGGTCTTTATAATTATTTTTCTCTAATGCACTTTGAACGCCTAACCACATGTATCCGCATCAGTTGTACGGCGTCAAATTTTTGCTCTTTTTCTCTTGATTACGTTTTTTTTCATTTCAGTCCTTTTTTTCTTGTAAATAGCAGTCGTACTTTCCCACGAATTAAATTTATGTAATATATCGCTCAAGATTACGTTCACATAGAGTGGCACAGTGTCTGTTGTTTTTTGTTTATTTATCTTTTAATTTTATTTTCATAGCCTAGAGAAAGTCTCAGTTGTTTAGAACTTTCGTTTGGATTTACCATGTGTTGGTTAAGCCGGATCAGAAGCTGATAGTTTCCCCCTGTAAGAGTCATGAGTAATTTCTGAACGGACCTGAGATCTCTATCGAACGTCAGACATGCACTCCACGGAGCTAAAAACGGTAATTCTTAAATTAAGTCTTGCTTTAAACAAAACAGAATTCAAATTTAAACAAACCAAATTCTTATTGTTTTGTTGCAGGTTCCCTTGGCTATCTATATTGGTTGATAAAGCACGACTATTTACTCCTGGGCTCACATAGTGTCCGAAAAACATGACATTCCTTCGGACGTTTGGTTTTAAAACCTTTCTATAAAACGTAAATAAAATTTTGGGGTTATTTTAAAACCACTCCTGACCATGAAATTTAAATCTTTTAAACAATACTTTTTATTCAGGGTGGCTGTCGAATTTCGATTTTAGTTGGCTTTTATCTCGAAGCCGAATGGCTTGTAAGAGTTTTCCATCATATTCATTTTAATTCACCTAGCTTTCAAAGAGCTCTGTTGAGTACATGAACAGAAATTGAAGAAAAGAACTTATATAAGTTTTCATTTTGTAAATATCTCCACGGGTGCTGCGAACTTCCAACAGGGTAGAAATTTTAATTGAATTCTTTTTTAAACAATAAAATCTATGGCACGTGCCTGTAGCCGAATCGCTCGATCGTTGACGTTTGCAACACGGTAAGTCTTGCAACGTTTTCTGCAGCCTTGGGCGTAAATTTTAAAAGCAGACGTAAACTAGAAACACTTGAGACCGTTTTTTGCTAAATCTCTAATATTGAGTTTGTTAGGCTATTTAGCCGAAGTGTGGAGCTTTGCAAGTGGTATTTACATAAATAATCAAGCCTTTAGAAAGTGTAAATACCATCTTTATTAGTAGAGCAAACAAGGAAAATTAATTGTGCAATGGGGGAAATCGATTGGTTAATAATTTAAGTCAGTCTTGTAATTGTGGCCTAATAAATGCAGCTCAGGGTCTGGTAATTTCGACTGACTTGTTTTCTTAAATAGTTCATTGTTGTTATTGCATTTTACAAACCAGTCGTTAGGATTTTGCCTTATGTAAAAGTGACTCAGCAGTTTCGATATCTAAACACAGCCTAGAGCTACTGTGTGTAGCTGTCTCTAAGAATGTAAAGCAGCTTTTATTGCTAGGAGCTCACAAACAAAAAACGTTTGATCCTCAAGTCCGCCAAAGACAGATACAAAATTGTTAAGCTTTGTTCCCACCTAGAACGCACCATAGCAGGTGGAATCCAAATAAAAGTAGATAAAATGCACAGCTTCATTTCTCCAAACCATAATATACATTGCGGCTTTATAACCCCAGATCACTCGGCCTCACTCACACTTCAAACGTATTTTTGCCTTCCCCTTTAAGCCGAGAAAGCAATCCAGCTGCTAGGGGAACCTTCAGAAAACACTGTTGACGTCAGAATTTAACGTGGACCTCCTCTACATCTTTCAAGCAAATTATTGAGAAGTGTGTTTAATCTAGTGTTAAAAGGTCCATTATTACCGGTACCTACGTCAGATATTATGAATGTGGTGCCCCTTAGGCGGAATCTTGCTTAATTATCTTGACATTCTCACTCAGCCTACCTTAATGGATCTTGAGTTAATGGCCTGACCAGTGCACTCAGCGATATAGCCATAATTTTACCGCGTGGTGTTGGCTTTAAAAATTGCGAAAGCTTTTCAACATCACCGCCGCAAAACCTTATATCAAAAGTGGTATTTCCTTAAAAGTGAATAAGACTTAACTGAACATGCGCCGACACCAATTAGAGTATCTGTCTAGTTGCTATTTACAACAAAGTTCCAGAGTATTCGGCGATCGGTAAAGTTGATTAGTTTCCGAGTACCTCAGTTTCCTTAGTGTTTATATTAACTGAGGCGTATTGGGTTCATTTAAGTAACCAAGACTTCTCAGTCAAAATTAAAGCGGAAATTCCAACGATCGACCTACATCCCACTGAAAATCTATTGGAACGTATCTGTGAAAGCTCACGAGTCAACAGCATTTTTTTTTCGTTGCGATGTTTTAATGGAATCCCAACGGCTCACCTCGCCATAGCACAACCGGAATTGCTACTGATATGGTCGTCAGCGTTTAGCTATTGACTGGAAATTTAGTGGCGCCAGGAACACCGCCGCCGCCGCTGCAAATTTTATGAGAGACCATTTACACGAGCAACTATTTCTGAATTATACTCTATGTCCGATAAAATTTAGAACGAAAAAAAAAAGGAAAAATGCGCTTTGTGCCATGTAAAACTTGTCCTATTCGGCGCTTATGATTGATTCTAATGTGCCCCTTCTTCTTCGCGATTGATCTAAATTGTTGATGTTTTACCTGCTTCCAAGTCTTGTATTTCGTCCAAATTCATTGCCTTTGCCCGTTATCGAACTTGATTGCAACAAGAGAAACGCACTAAACGAAATGATCGCACAAGATTCAAGCTGCCCCAGTTTTGTTCATTTTATGGCCACTGGATTGATGACATGATTGCAACTCGTGCGCCCTGCACATGGCACTTAAACCTCTATCAATTAACAACTTGTCCGTGATATTCGTTCTTGAAGCATTATTAGCATGTAAATTAGCAAGAAAAGAACAGCCCAGCTGCTTTAGACGTTTATTAATGAATTAGACAGGCCGCTAATAATGCTACATTCACCACTACTGTCCTACTGTGGCCCGGCACAATCATCATGGCGTAACCTGTAAAGGACATGTTTAACAGAAAAGAGTACAGGTTTTCTTATGCATTCATCGCGAAAATGTGTGTGTGCGTTTTCAACTACTCAACGTGTCTTAAAAGTACAATTGTACCACTAAGCTTAGTGAATTTTTAAATTAGAGTATATTCCTCCATTTTAATTAACTGTCCATTAAGAACTTTCCACATCGCCTTTGGTAATTTAAATCGGTAAGCAGACCACAAGCACTAATTAACAAAACTCCATTATTAATCAGACACAGGAGCTGGGCTTAACACTGGTAAGCTTTTTGTCCCTTTTTCTCTTCTTAAAAGCTTTCAAAAGTAACATCAAAGAAAAACAATAAGGCTAATAGTGTTTTCAAGAAAATATGTATCTAAAAAAAGGCTACTCACTCATTCTTCCTGACTTGTCAATATATTGAAATTTAGTCAGTTTTTAAAGCTAATGACTGACAGCTCTTATCTTATTATATATCACTCAGTTTTAAAAAAAGGTAGAACCAAACGCGGAAGCCGAGTTTAATCTTATATTTTAACACCTTATTGCTGGATAAAAACTCTTCATTCTTATTTTTATTTTCGATGAATTTCAGCTAGGTTTATGATTGTAAAATTTAAAATGTTGAACATTTTTGCATTGTTTACCTGAACAAGGAGACAGCTGATCGGCTGCCAAGTAAATACCAAATGAGTTTTGATAGGAAACTCTAGGTGCGTTCTAATTAGACAGCAAAGGATTAATGAAAACATATTCTCATAAATTACGCTGAAAAGCTGATTAATAAACACCTTTAAAATAACGCTAGGGTATAAAGAATTAAGTGGCTAGCCTAAGATACACGTTACAGTTGTTTGCCAATTTTCTGATCAATATTTGTTTTCTCCTAAAAGAGAAAAGAGTAAAATGACGTTCGTTAACACCATAAACCGCCGCTAGCCAATTGAATTTCGGCGAATCAAGAAAGTGGCAGTCATTGACCACTAACAACGTTCTGCGCATTAGAAAGAGACTGCAAAGCAATAAATATTTTTAGGGATTAGAATATTCTTCTTTAATTCTAGAATAGCCTGTAGTTAAAACTAAAAGTAAAAAACTTGTAATTTGACTTTGAAGTAAGTTGCTTTAAACACGTTACTGATGAGGGGATGTCTTTGACAATACAAGAACTAGTCAAGGAAACCTTTGACATTCACAAAGCGTAGTCCCATCGTTGAACACAATGACGAGTGAATCAATGAGATAATCGATCGCCGTAATCGCTTTAGACGATTTGGGTTAAGTTAAGTCGACTAAAAGTCTAAATTCTGTTGATTGAAACTGTATGTAACACGTGATAGAACATGCTCTAAGTGAGCGCTCTTTTTTAGTGTTTCACTGGCCAAATTGTGTCTTCATTTTGACGTTTTTTTTTCCGGCATCTGAGCAGAAGTGGATAATGATGGGTTTTTCGAGTAAAATAAAACTGTGTTACTGGGATTAAAGGGCTGCTATGTCATCAGGATACTGTTGCTGTTTCAGGTTAATTCTGTGCTGAAGTCATTACTTAGTGCGGTCTTTACCAATACACAAAATGTTCCTGTAGAGTCATGAAAAATATATTAACAAAAATAATTTCTTTGGCGATTTTTGCAGGCATAGCATACTTTTTGAAGTTTCAATCCGCGTCCATCCCTGCCATCCGTTGCAACAGACGTCAAGAGACAGTTTCAACGCCTAAATATAGTTTAAATATACTTTAAAAACAAAACTGGACCGCCATTATTTATGGAATTCAGTTGATGCGAAGACACGTTTTAGCCTTTTAAAAAATAGCAACAATGGAGGTCAAAAGTGTTGGGACCTTTTCTGTGATATTAGTAAAACTAGCTACCCCTCCCCTCCCAACCCAAACAAAGTTGAATTTGAGCACCATGGGTTAAAATGAGTCCTTTTGTTGGCCTAACCATTGCTGGAAGGTGGGGGGAGTTGGGGTTGGGGGGTTTGAGGCGGGATGAACCCGAAGCCGATCAAGAAATTGTACCTTATCTTAACTTTTTCATCCAAAGGCAGTTATTAATTGTCAGATGTCGATTCTAAAGGAAACGTTGTCTAGAATATAAATGGCTAAACGTTTGTCTCATTTGTCCTACTAGCAAGTCAGACACATTTCCTTCCAGGTGACACAGTCCAATATATTGCCAACGAATCATGTGGAGATTTTACTGTCTTGCTTACTTGTCATTCCAAATTGTATTGTTAAATTAATTTTCGCTGATTTGTCAGTTTGCTCAGTCTTGTAATGTAATACCAACTGCTTTCGCTGACGAGATAACGTCTTACATCATGGTGTCCAGATTTACCTCGTTTCTGTGAGTTACAGACGGAACCTCCTAATTCTCGGTTTGGTGGCAGTTTTCTTAGCCTTACTTAAAGAGGGTAGGGTGGTGGCGTGTAATCTTCTCTCAGTAGTGCTATTTATTTTAGCGGAGAAAAGCTCAGTGATCTTGTAAATTATTCAACTCGGCTTTTTTTGTGCCTCCCTTTCAGGACTTATCAATAAACAGGAAAGCAAAGGCAGACCGCAATAGGAGTTGTGGCAGTTCAGTTATCATGTGCAACAAAGATCACAGGCGAAATTGGGTTTATGTCACCTAACTTTTTTCTTTTAATAGATTGAAAATATTTTTAAATATTCGAGTCTTAAAAGACTCTCAGGCTAACTGGTAGGTGTGCCGTAATTGAATTATCCGTAGTCAAAGGGCCTGATCCAAGCCCATGGATGCATCATCCTAAAGGGTGTTTTTCATAACACAGGGTTTAAATGCTTGAGAAATCGATGGGAATATCCCAACTAATACGTCAAGAAGATATTAGGGCCAGAACGATCTGAGGCCAGCTCGGCACGCTGTGCGGGAATGTGAACTGCCTATATACGCTGCTACTTACAGCAAAAGATGTAAGAACTAATTCACCATGCGAAATCTAAGGTTAGAATCCACATTTGATCCCCGGTTAGATACAGAAATCAGAGAGGGCGAGTGGGAAGTTGAGTTGATTGGGACCTGCAGAGACCACGGGCGAATACCGAGCAGGCATTATTAAACCGGTTGAGAATGTGAAGGTAGATTACCAAAAAGCTCAAGTAGAGCTTCATTAATAAGATTCCTTCAAAAGCAGAAGAAAAGAAATAGGAGCCACTCAGAGGCATCAGAGCTGGGAAACTTAAAACATCTGACTGTGCTGGCAAGTTACACTTGAGGATAACCGCGGCTCGGAATTGAACAAAACTAGGTACCCGCTGCATTTAAATCAACGAAAAGTCAATCATTGTTTCAAGTATCTTTCCTCTGAATAACAACTGTACCTGACAAACTGAACTTTTCACTTATCCTTTTAATACTTGATCAAACTTTCACGCGTACTGTCTTTTTTTTTGTAAAATTCATTTATGGAGGCGCCAGTAAATGTTGCCAGTGTTTGAAGAATAATTCTCCAATTAAAAACTCTTACCCGCTACTTTAAAGTGAAGACATTTTTAAACTCCCAACAAATTTCAGGGCTTACTTATCTTCAGCTTAAACGGATGGTTTCGTGTGACTAGCTCGCCTACCTTCTTTGCTTGTTTGCATCGCTTCTTGCGGGGAATCTTTGTTTGTCGATGTTGCCTTTACCTGCAGTTCAACGTTGCTGTCCTTTTCTTCCATGCTAAAAAAATTGTTGGTGACTTACAAAGAAAAAATGATCGTCCTCGCTTATCCAGTACTTCAGTGGTTATAAATAGGCCTCGATTGCACGCACAAGTTTTTAAAAGCAAACAAAGCCCACGGGTAGAGGATACTAGGATGTCTGACTCCGGAGACATGCTGGTTTGATTTCAGCTTATTTTAACATATGAGCATGTGTTTCCAGCATTGCCTAAGGCGCCATCGGTATGATATCAGTATACTGACAAAAACGAGCACAAAGTACTAGTCAAGCTTGGCGCTTAAGAGCCTCCTGTCCCCGTTATTTTCCCGCCAAGACAGATGGCTTTTTTGTAATTTGGCTGATACCGGATGCCTGAAGAATTAAGTGGGTTTTGGGACTCAATTTTCCTTTTTGGACAACCTTTTTTTGTGAGGAAATTTAAAGCGTAAATTTTGACAAAAAATCCCTGGTTAGAATTACAAAATATTTCTTCTTCTCATAGGTTTAATGTTCCCAATTCTTTAGATTAATTACGTTTCACTAATTTAGAAAACATGGATGCCGTAGTTTTGGTGCTGCGCTGACATACACGCTGCATCTGGAAAGTTTGGCTGAATGAATTTCTCCTTGTTGTTCCAATGCTTACTTACCAAACAAGTCATGAGAATAAAGAAAATGATCACTTTCGGTATTTTAACTTATATTCATTTATATGTTTTGGATTGTAAAAATATTCATTTACTTATAGACTGCACTAGCTAGTTACTGTATTGCGCCGTGTCTGCAGTGTGAAGATGCTTATAGCCAAGCCTTTAAAACATGCAGGATACAGGCAGTTGAAATGTGCCAAATGTGCATGGTATATTGTTTCCATGTTAGATCTTCGCCTTCAGTGTATGTGGGAGAGTGGAAACGTAGTTTGTTTATATCCTGGCTAACCAACATGCACATTACCTGATGTTTAAAAGGAACAAACTTTTACAAGAGAAAGTAATATGTCAACCGCAACACAGTTTTTGTCGAACCCCAGTTATTAGGTATGTCCCACGTGCAAATAAACGATGTCAAGATAAATTTTAAATGTGTAAGCTTTTATGCCATTAAATGTGCTACATCAATAAATATTTTAAAAGGAAGTCTGAACCCTAACAACTAAAAGAGAAACCATGTGCTGTGAAATGTGATTCTAACTCTTGATGGTTAGGATCAGGACGTAACTACTGACCAACACTCGCGGTATAATCAATGAACAGCTCTGTTTACCTTGTTCTATTTATGCGCGGTACTGTCTGCTGCAGGGTCTGTTGATAAAATCTAACTAAATGTACCTTACACTTTTACACAGTAGCCACCCAGACTGCTGACTATCTTTCTTTATACTCAATCATAAATTATAGGTAAATTCTATGCTATTCAGTGTTACGCTTTTGACAAGTCACTTAGAAAATCGACCATTACACCGACAAGCTTATCGTTCTCAATCACTCATAGTAAGTGAGAAGAACAAGAGTTCTGGGAAGTGAAAAGATTTTCTGTTTTGTGTGTTTGTTGCCAGGACACTGATCTCCCATAAAGTCAGTAACCAACCATTAGTCGGCCAAAAATAGCAGCTTTACATATATTTCATGATGGGTATCGGTTTAGACGATTGAGATTCAACAAAGTCCTTCTGTGGGGTACAAAAGCAGTGCTTCTCAGAGGATGGGTGACCCCGTTACTCTGGCCAATAGGAAACGTGTTTCTCGTAATCGTCATTGAATGATGAACCGAATGTGATATCAAGCTTTTATACAAACCTTTGGCTTGTAAGTTCTGTTGTTTTATTGTGCTCTGTTTGGTTATTGAGTTAAGTATTAAAAGCAAGGCTTCAGACTGATAAACTAGCACAACTGTTTATGATGAATGATGGCTTCCTCAGTTGACTAGCCATACCAGTGAGCTCCATTTAGTCAAGTTTCATCAGGAACATTCATCGAAATAATTTTGCTGTCTTTTTATGTCTTTACTACGAAACGAACAATTATGTTGCAAAAAGCCAACAAAACAGAAAAAGTGATACGTTCACCGGCATATCCTTTTTGTCTGCAAAACCGGCAAATGTGATTTCTCTTAACGGGAAGGAACAGAAATAACTTCCTTGAAGAAGTTCAAGCGAGTTTGATGATTCGCGGCCTCTGTTAATGACACTCTTAACAACAACAATAGGATAGGTTTTTTGTCACCAGAAAAAAGAAATTACTTTTTTCTTCTCTTCCTTAAGACTTTTTGTTATTTCTTTTCTTTCTCCTGTAATTAATTACCAGATGAGGTGAGCATTCTTTTCAAATAAGAGCGGTGGCGAATAAAGCCATTTTCGAAGATGCACAATCCTGCTTTTCCAAACTGTATATGAACATTACTCTAAACTGTAAAGTGCATTGGTCGAAGCTTTAAATCTAACATAGGGTATGATTTCTAAATTTTGAGCATTATTTTTCTACTTAGTATATACATCAAAAAGCGCGATGATTTACTGTCCTGTTTTTTTTTCGTTAAAAATCTGGAAAAACGAAGATCTGGATCTCTCTGTCTTCAAGCCAGTCTCCTTAGTGTTTCATCATTGCAACGAACGCTTTAGGGTCTCTCATTTCTTTCCAATTTCATTTCTTAACTAAGCAGAACTGTTTATAGACCAAGCAAACAAAAAACATTACTCCTCAATAGACAATAGCAATAAAACGTGGGAAGCAGGTGCTATCGTCATAGCCGCCGAGTGCAATGAAAGGTTGGTTCACTCACCTACCAACAATGTGGCCTGGGCTTGAATCCCATAAGCCATCGGTGTCCGCGCGAGGTGCCATATGCAAATCAGGTATTTTTACTTCCATTCATCCGGACTACGGTAAACGAAAAGCCCCTTGATGGTTGGTGAAGATCTGAAGTCAACATTCTTTGTATTGTTCGAGTAATAAGTCTCTCAAATATATAAACCGTTTGGTTGGCTTGAATTACGTCAATACGCCACTTGCACATCTCCCATCATGCACCTTATTTGCACCCCAAAATTGTGCGTAACCTTTGTTTTTCATTTCTCGTAGGTTTTACAGCCTTCCCAAGAGAAATTAAAAACAATACTTATGCAAAATTTTGGGGTACAAATAAGGTGCATTATGGGAGATGTGCAAGTAGCGTTTTGGCTACCGAAATGAATGATGTTGAAAGTTTCTTATAGCAAATACCAGCTGAGGAAATATGCTTAATACTGCGGGTGGGCATGTGAAGCCGGCTTTAATCCCTGACGTATTTGTTTCCTGACGGCAGAGAAACACTTTTCGGCAAGAGGAAGATTTTTAATCACTTTCAAATGATTTCTCAGTAGACTTGAATTTGATTTTCTTCATGCTTCTGCTTGTAAGATTTAAGTAACCAGGCGTTGGGAATCTTTCTTCCACTGGTCGATAGCTTTACAAAAATTGAAGGTCAAAAAAACATAGCTTACAGGAAATCCTTTCATACCCTGGTTAGACACTAATACTGACAATATACCTTGGTTTTTGCAAGCATTACATATATAATATGTATATTACTTATGCCTTTCATATATGTATGCGTGTTTAGCGCTAAAGACTAAGCTGTTTACACTGTAAGTTTGTTAGAGCAGAACGTGCAGTGAGTTCAATATATTGTTTTATAACATTTGTGCTGGACATGTATGATTTTGAAAGCTTATCAGTTAATATAGCATTTTTTATTATCTCTAGCTTCGTACAATACATCAGTTTTTCTCTTGATAAGGATTTTCTGTGTCTAAATATTTTATCTGCGTCTATTTAAAGCTCCAATCCATGCAATCCTCCCGATGGTTAAGCCAGCTCAGTATTTCCACATTGCGTCATCTACAGATACGAACAACTCCCCTGATTAACATACCAATTGTTAAAATTAATGGCCGCAAAGAAACCCCGCAAGCCGGCCTGAAAATGTTTTGTTACATCAAGAGATACTGAAAAGTGCTTTATCACACTGAGCGTGCTCGTTCATTTTTTTTAAACATGTTCGAGATAAATGATGTGAACCTTATCGCAGCTAACCTGCCTTAATATCGCGTCTGACGTTTTATAAGTTATCTTATCTTAAGGAAAAGAAGCATTATAATTTAACCAGCATACCAGAGACCGAATGGCTCTTACGCCCACATGCACTGCTGAAAATTAGAGTATTACCGACTGACTGCCGAAATATGCTGAGGTGTAAATGTCTTTACATTAAACTAGCTTTGCTACTCAGCATTGTATTAACCCAAGTCAATCTTTCCGCCAGGCAGGGTTTTTTGTTTGCATAGTCAGTTAAGAGGAATATTAATATTATTACCTCGTGCGAAGGGGTTCAGTTACTTTTAAAATTTGCTTGGCGTGGGAATCTTGTGCCGTGTTTAAAAATGGCGGTCACCTCTTTTGTAAATACTGAACATAAGAATAACCCTTGCCTTTATATAGGAAACAGTTCTAGTTTTTATGGCTAAGTCGACCACGCTATAACAAATTAAAAAAGTTGTCTTTTCAATACCAATTGTCAGTTTACGGTACACTACTGTGTTGTGGTATTATAACATCTATGCCAAGATAAGACCTTCTTGAATTTCCGATGTTATTTTCTTCCCAGAAGCTTGCAACAAGTAATCAACAGGTAGCCGCCAACGCTAACAGGTAATTAATTATCGTTCCCTTGGCTTCACTTGGTTTTCAAAGGATTGATAAAGGGCTTTTAAGTTTTAAAGTCTGTTTGCATGACTGAACCGTTAGCCACAAACAGTAATTGACCTATATGTCTTATATGTCCTTTGTTTTGATTGAAGACACCAATGAAAAATCTTAAAAGCCGGCAATGACTTTACTTTTACGTCAAAAAACATAAATAACTTAGCGGCAGATAGGGACTGATCAAAGAAGGTTGTTTTCTATTCACTTGTTTTAACATTGTCTTAAAATGCTTTTAACGCGGCGGGTCAGCCACTGTCTCTCAATTACGCTATTAGCCC